AGCTTAAGTGCATGTAAAAGTTCTCTTGTTCTCTGGAAATTAACCATGTGAGGTATGATTGAACTTAAGTACGAAACAGCTCACATTCCATATTACACTGAAGCAATAGCTATAAGATTTATCACATGGATTATAAGAAAGGAATGGAGTTTAACTTTACTCTGATCATTTTGACACTAACACACTGTTATTTTTGTCTATATTCACCTGTGCATTGCAAGGGTTTTGTTACGTGCGCTACAGTGTGAAAATGTTACAAACTGATAAAAATCACTATATTCCTGTGTGAAATGCCAGGGAAGATAATTTTACTCACCTTCTGTTCATCTAATTCTAACTTTCAAGGGTATTTTTACGTGAACTCCAGTGTGAAAATGTTAAAAACTGATCAAAATTACTATAATTGGTCTTTGAAAATATGTGAGGAAATATGATGGAGTAAAGCTAAACTCCATTTGTTGTAAAGAAGCGAAATCTCTTTGATTTCAAGATACATTATGTAAGATGTAGATACAGAGCTGGCCATTCTTACAATAATAGTTCAAATATAGACAATGCAAAATGAATATATTGAAAATTCCATTCAAAGATATTAGCCTTTGAAGATTTGACAAGATTTGTGCATAAATTGTAACCACCATACTGGTTGTTCGAAGCTTAGTCTAGCTTCTCTATTTTTAAATTAAATCATTAAATGACTGAACTGTTCTAATCTACTTATTATCAGAAAAATCTGATGGCATCATGAGTTGATTAGGGTTTTTTCATGTCAATAAATGTCTAATTAATAATTTATATAACATTTAAGGCCTAAAGAAAGAACTGCATTTGTCTCTTGCATAATGTACATTTATGCTAAGGTCCCACTGTTGCGTGATGTGTTATGATAGAGTTGTTCCTATCGGTCCCTCATTATATGCTATGCTAAGACCTGATTGGATCACCACGATTACTCCGCGACTAAAACCATGATTCAAATTGCAGCACAAATCAAGATATCGCAACACGAATCATGATAGTGAGAACCTAGCATTAAGTCAAAATAAAGTATTCCAATCGCAGCACGAATCATGATACTGATAGTGGGGAACCTAGCATTAAGTCAAAATAAAGTATTCCAATCGCAGCACGAATCATGATACTGATAGTGGGGAACCTAGCATTAAGTCAAAATAAAGTATTTCAATCGCAGCACGAATCGTGATACTGATAGTGGGGAACCTAGCATTAAGTCAAAATAAAGTATTCCAATCGCAGCACGAATCGTGATACTGATAGTGGGGAACCTAGCATTAAGTCAAAATAAAGTATTCCAATCGCAGCACGAATCGTGATACTGATAGTGGGGAACCTAGCATTAAGTCCAAATAAAGTATTGAATTAGGTTGATCTAATGTGTTATAGTACAGTAACCTCAATATGATTATATTAACTTGATCTACTGTGCTGTGGTACAATAACCTACATATCAAATTTTTGTTGTTTCAAAAAATTAGGCAGAAGTAGGAGGCAGGAATAGGATTGCTCTATCTGTAAAATGAAAATTTTAGAGGCAGACAGATATATATCTACCTGATCATAACAGTTCAGTTCAGGTATTTTGAAATATTGGATTGGTAGATTTCACTGAATCAATGATTAAATATTTGATATGGAACATGCAATATTGATTATATTCAAACTTTTAAATTTTAATTTTTCATTAGATGACATCAAATAACAAAAACAAATATCAAACGAACAGCTGTCAATAACTATTCCACTTCGATTATTTAAGTATTTGTACAAACCGTATGTTTCAATATTTGTTTCAAATCAAACAATGGAAGCTTTTAGCGTTTGACAGTGCTTTAAACACCATTTATTTTCATTGAATTATTTATATAAATGGTGATAATATCCTAAATTTGGCATATGGGTTGAGGACGTCTGATTCCTCAGGGAGAGTATGGACAGATTTGTTGGAACAGCCACAAGCTCTCGAGATTTAGATTTCCTACAAATTGATAGTAATTAATCCCAAGGAGACAATATAGTTACTGATAGAAAAATCTCCTAAAAACATGTACAGATATAAATTAATGTAGTTTCTGTTATGATCTAATCTACATCCATATAACCATAGCTATAGCCTCAAGACCAGATTAGCGGCAAGAAAATGATTTTGCAATTTAATGGTCATGTTCGTACAATCGAGATACAATCATCAAACGTACACGGTAGCTACAGCCTGAAGACGAGATTAGAGGCAAGAGGATTTTGTAATTTAATGATATCTTGTAGATCGACTAAATCTAGGCTGTAGGCATTGTGGTAGTCTGAACACATGTCTAGCATTAAAGCTATAACAATCTACGACAGGTTGATTATCATCTGAAATTAAAAGAGAATTGAATTAAGGCTGGCTAATGTTCTATCTGACATTTATCATTAATGTACAATTCAAGTGTACTGTGTAATCCGTTCTATACATTATTAAGGAAAGTAAACTAAGGATTGGTGTTTTAATGTCACATCAACTGAATATTTACTGGTGGTAAATCATTTTGTTTTATAATCAGCTTTATGATGAATAGTTATCATTGAATCTGCTTAAAATTTATATGCATTGTTAATTCTATTAAATATAGAGTTATTACCCTTGTTCAATTTATAGAATCTTGTGAATGTTCTTTTGACAAAAGTGAGAACTGGATTTTCTTATAATTTATGTGTATCAGATTACTGGAGCAAGGCAGCCAATTGAATTTGAATAATGTTATTTAATCTAGAGTTATGTCTCCTGAATTTGTATAAAACTTGTGAATGCCTTAAATATATGTAATAGAACCTTGTGAATGCATCATTTCTGACAGTATATAGATTTTTCTTTTTATTTACCTAAAGATACATGAAAACCACAATGGTTTGCTTGGATTATTTAGCTTAGTTTTGTTGCCTGGCAACCTATTATTTAGCTTAGTTTTGTTGCATGGCAACCTATTGGTTAGGATACATGAGTATGGTAACAGTATTCAAAAGTCAGATTTTGATAAAACTAAAAAAAAGGAAAAAAAATATTCTGCAGGAATAAAACACAGCATGAAAATTATGCAACACAGGACAATGTTTATTTCTGAAATTGCTATGAATCCCAACCCATAGAATATTTATCATAGGTATAACTTACGTGTTTGCATTAGGAAGATGAAAGAAATACATGCGAGTAGGAATAAAACAGCAGCAAGGTATATCTCATGAATGTTTATAATCTGTTTAGCTGTTGCACCTAATGGTGCCTTATCTAATAGATCACTTGGCATAGGACACAACTGTTACCATGGTAACATGATGGTGAAGGTGGGAGACATATTAAATTTTTAGATTATTGGTAACTAGTTTAAACATGTTTCTGGTAATGCAAAGTATTTTTTTATGTTTATAGGACACAAATGATGGTGGAGGTGGGAAACATTGAAATGTTACACTATCAGTAATTAGTTTAAATATGTATATATTATAATGCAAATTGTTTTGTTTTTTTTAATGTCAATATAATAACATTTTATGTGTATGACTGATAAAATCTCCTGATATTTTCATGAAGCTGCAACATAAAAATGTAACAAATGTATGGATGAGGGGCATGTTTGTTGTGAAACTGTTTAGTGTATTTTTCCTGGAATAAAAGTTTTCTGATAGATATTAATTGTGCACATTTATGGGCCATATGCCATTCTTTCAACTGTCATGTAATTGACAATCGAAGACCCCCATATTACATGCTAGCCTAATTTCTACAACAATTGGTACATGTATAATGAAAATGGGCATCCATGCAGTGAGGAACAAGGGAAATTTTGTTCAGACAGCTGTGTTTCTGCATCTTTTATATCAAATTCATACAGTCAAGTGTTCTCATATGTGCTCATGGGTCCTCTATTTTCTGTCCCATCTGAATTACTAGATGCTGTTCAGTTCCAGGCCCTCTACTCTGCACCAATGACAAGGGAAAACCACACTCTAAAATCTGGAGGACCAAAACCAGGATCTCCTGGTTTGTGAGTCAACACCTTTCCCACTGAGCCACCTGTAGTATAATATTGAAGGAGGTGTTTTATTATTTTGTTTGCTAGGTACAAACTGTGTGATTTGATGATATATTCAGACTAAAAACATAATCAAACTAATTAATCTATCAAAAATTTGTTTCAAATCCCTCTCCAAACTTTGTTTTCGCGGGGAGATACCTCAGGCTATAAATAAACTGTTGTTAGACACCATGTCTGCCACCTCAGTTCATTGAGGGAGGGTTCATTTTTCAAAATGTATTTGTCATTACTTACTGTCAATTTATCATACATATTGAGGCCTAAGTAAATTCTTAATTATTTTCTGTCAACATCTTTTTTGGCCGTTTAGTTGCAGAGTCTTTTGTACATTAACACCCCTCAATGTTCCCAAAACCGTCTAACCATTTGATTTGATCAAAAAATAACAAACGCTCAGTCAAACTAGTACACAATAAGCTGGCAGACAAGAGTCAGGTTGCCAGTTAGTGATACCCTGACATTTTTGCCCAGTGTTTGCCCCATGGGTGTTTTTCTGGTAATCCAGTATTTTCCAAGTAAGATTGGGTGTCTATGCTTTCCATATATACCAAATTTACCATACTTTTATTCGAAATAACCACCCGATAAATACTTTCAGGACAATGTATCTTTAATGCATCACACATTTTTCCGAGCAGTCCCCACCAATTTTTACATTCAAATTATCAGAAATCCTTAATATATCACACATGTTTCCTTGAATATTATAATAACCTATCTTTAACCTATATTGTTAATATAGTGTATATGTAATATACTGTATATATAACATAGTACATATTAATACTGTAACTGCTGTTTACATAATTACTTACATACATACATATATTTAATATTATCCTACATCGTACTGTAGATTACCTCAACTCAACACACACTATTCTTGATACACTCAACACTTTAAACTGACTCTAAGCTGTCTGCTTGCCAGTAGAATCAAAGAGATCAAGTTCGATCGGATTACACACTGTCGGAACAATAGGTGTTAGCCTCTCAAGGGTTTTTACCTGGAGTTTGTATTCTGTGCCATTCTACCAGAACTGTGTACTGTGTGTGTGTGTGTAAACCTGCGTGTTGGATTTTTCTGTGTGAGATATTGACGGAAATAGCGTCAGCTGACTGTGTTACAGGCTGGTATTTTACATACCCACAGTTCGTACTTGTATTCATGACGGCATTCAAGAATGTTGGCATTCCTGGCAGAGCTTTTCGTGACAGTTCTTGAAGATCAAGTCATTGTGGCAACGTTTATATTGACGGCAACTACGTCAATTTTATACGTATTTTTAACCATCTGTAGGTACATTTATTTAACTTTATAGATTTTTTTATGCCCATTGTATTCATGCTTATTTCTCTTAGTTGTGTACAATATTGATCAAAGTTGTTGTATATATATAACTTGTCAATGTTACTGAATGCTAATTAAATTACCCTGTCTAGTCTTTTCTTTAACGGCTTGCCAACTTTGGATTGGAAGATGGCAGACTCAAAGTAAAAGATTTCCATTTTCTATTTGACTTGTCCTTTATTCTTGACAATATAATACTAGGGATAACGATATCGAAATTTTGAAAAAGGTCTGTTCACACTCCAAAATATATAGCGGGTGCACTATGAAAGTCAAAATTGACTTGTGTATACTAACTACCCAGACAGAAGCTTGGGAGGGGTGATCACCTTGACTCTGCCTTGGATTTTGTGGAGGCGAAATCACATTGATTCTGGATTTGATTTTGGGAAGAGGTGATTACCTTGATTCTGCATTTAATTTTAGGAAGGGGTGATCACCTTGATAGTGCATTTGATTTTGGGGAGGTGTGATTACTCTGCCAAGGTGAAATCACATTGATTCTGCATTTGTTCCTTGTGAACTAGTTGATAGCCGTTAAAAACTATACCTTGAAACGGAAAGTGTCAATTCTATGGTGGTGAATTTAAGACATATTAAATCACAATGAGGAAATCAGTAAGATGTCTAGTAATATGGGATATTTAATTATTACAATGAAATTCCTTTGAAATATGCCATCCATATTATTACTATTCACTCACCTTATTTGATCATTTGCATATTTGTTTTATCTTTTGACATTTTGTATCTAGAAAGCTGCACTGGACTCGGTAGTCGAATGCCAGGGTCGACAAATGGAACAAAAATTTTCAAATGACCTATATATAAGTAAAGATAAGAACATGAAATCCATTGTCGGTGATATCACTTTGATGGAAGCGGACGTTAAATAAAGCTATTTCACACACAATAAAACTCCTAGAGAAGCCAAGTCAAAGCCTTTTCAATAATACAATTTAAACAATTTTCCAGTTGTCAAGTTGCAAACAATTCTTGTTTTTGGTATTCTTGTGCTTAATATTTTTTTAATGAACCACGAAATCTTTCCAAAGCTTTAATCAATAATATGAAAATTCTTTCCATATTGAAAACTATATATAAATTATGGAATGTAATATTGACAAGAGTTTTTATCCGAGATAAAAGATATTTTATTGATTATTATAGAAGATGATGGAACCAGATGAAAGACAAACTGTTTATAAATTCATCAAGTAGAAAATAATTTTACTGATCGACATCGAGATTATGATAAACCCAGATCAATATATGATCAATATAACCATAGAATATCATCTTCTTACTCTTGATATTATCATATTCTTTCATACTTGACTGATATAAGGGCTTGGAGATTAGGTGGCTAGATGATCTGTCATCTTTTGAGTATAAACATCTGTCTAAAGGTGTAGGTATCACAGGAGCTGGAGGGGTAGTCAAGCACTGTTCAAAAATTCGTCCAACTCCCATTGTATACATAACCTGAGAAATAAAACTTCCATATGTTAGTCTTAATGGAAGTATTGTGTACACAAGACATTAAACCTATATGTTAGTCTCAAAATAATGGAAGTATTGTGTCTAGTCAAGCACTGTTCAGGCAAAATTCTTCCACCTCCCATTGCATACATAACCCGAAAAATAAAACTTCTATATGTTAGTCTCAAAATAATGGAAGTATTGTGTAGACAAGACATTAAAACCATATGTTAGTCTTGAAATTATGAAAGTATTGTCTACACAAGACATTAAACCTATATGTTAGTCTTAACATAATGGAAGTATTGTGTAGACAAGACATCAAACCTATATGTTAGTCTTAAAATAATGGAAGTATTGTGTAGACAAGATATTAAACCTATATGTTAGTCTTAAAATAATGGAAGTATTGTGTAGACAAGACATTAACCTATATGTTAGTCTTAAAATAATGGAAGTATTGTGTAGACAAGATATTGAACCCATGTTAGTCTCAAAATAATGGAAATATTGTGTCTAGACAAGACATTCACCCCAATTCCAGTAAACATCTAAAAGTTACATGTATACTATATGATATTTGATAATGCTCACACAAATACATAAATATTCATATTTGAATAGTTTTAAAGCTGTTTAAACTGATTGTTTACTATTCGTTATTCCATGTCAATTAAAACGGAAGTTGATCTGTTTTTTGTCTCCCATGAAATATTTACTAATATTGATTCCATGAAATCAGCTAATGTTAGGAAATAAACACATAATAAAAATATCTTGATTTGACAGATTTTTTACACATCAGAAAATGCATCAAAAATGGACCAAAGCTTTATTCGAATAGGATTTAAATAATGACTTGAGATATTTGAATATCATTTGAATAATGACTTGAGATATTCGAATAGTAAAATCAACATTCGCTGTAACCACCAATATTTGGCATGCCTGTAGACATAAACTAGTTCTTGGCAGCAGATTTCTGCAAGCCAAAAGAAAAACTGAGTGAGTTAAACATATAGCATACGGTGAGACACAGACTGACAATTGGTTTATATACCTGAATACTGTGGTGACAAAGAATTAATAAGATTGTGAGAGAGAGAGAGAAATGGGGTTTAACGTCCACTCGACACAAACTAGGTCATTTCAGGACTAACATATGGTTCAATTTTTTTTCCATAATTCGCTAGCGCGTAGGGGTCTTTAGCAGTGGGAGGAAACCGGAGGACCCAGAGAAAATCTAAGGACTACATTTACATTAGTGAGACGAACATGCATATCAAAATAAAAAAAAAAATTATTTCTAGTTTTTAGATTTACTCATGAAATATCAATCATTCTCATCTTTCTTAAATAATTTAAATATATATTCCCATGAAAGTATTTAAATGGTAATTATTTCCAATAAAAGTATGGCATATTTGGTGTACATGTAAATGGAAAGTACGTGGGAAGGTATCTTTAAGAACTGTTGATAAAATAAAATGAATATTGTATGAGACATTTTACATGTAATTGTTGGATAACGGGGGCGTGGTAGAAGGGAAGCGATTGTTTTCAATTGAATTATGTTGTTTGGTTCTTATATATTTGTAAACTAATTAAAAATTAGATCCAGCTGCCAGCTAGTGAGGTTTACACTCTTCAATAATTACATACCAGTATCTTACTCTTTGCCTTAAGGAAAAAATGTTTATATGGAAGAATATACAAATAGTATAGAATTGTATGAGTTAAATATTTAACTAGTGGGGTTGGATGGCTGAATCATAAGGTCTGTCATTGGGTCAACTGGTGTGGTTTCAATTCCCCAGTTGTACGTGACAAGGAGTAGGGTCGCCTGTCCAACCTCGTGGGTTTTTTCCGGGTCCTCCGGTTACCTCCAATTGTGCTAAAGACCCCTATGCGCAAGTGAATTATAAAAATGAAATTTAACCATATGTTAGTACCGAAATGACCTAGTTTGAGTCGAGTGGAAGTTAAACCCCATCTCTCTCTCTCTCTCTCTCTCTCTCTATTTAACTAACTGCCTCCCCAACAAAAACGTAAAACGAAACATTTAATACAAACTGTTGAAATCAGGGCCCTCACATAGGTGGAGGTGAGAGGGGCATATTCCTGGGGCGCCACTTCTTAGGGGAGGCTGGCAAATACCAGAAATATTCAAAGGAAGATCCCTTTAAATTTTTATGGACTAGCCTCCTTGGAGTCTGAGATAGCAAATCACCGGCCTTTGATTTCCCTAAACCTGTGTAAACCAGTTCATATTTAAGCAAATAGAAAGGGCAGAATTAGGATTTTTCCAAGATACAGGTTTTTTCGATCAAATGGAGAGTTCAAGGGGAAATTAACATAAAATTTTTACATGATTTGATTTAATACATAGTTATTTAGATAAAGTGTTAAAAGTATAAAAAGTTTCTTTAATCATAAAAAGTCAACTGAGCGCAGGCACTGAACAAAGCAGTGACAGTATGCAGGTGGGAGAGGTGGGAGAGGTGGTGTGGGGGGGGGGGCGGCATCACTGATACTTTTGCCCTTAGGGACCACATAGGCTTGTGAGGGCCCTGTAGGATAGACCTACAGAAAACATTTCATCGATTGTGAGTGGTATAGGATTTTCATGAAAAACTGAGCATGTCCTGGTTCTAGCATGATGCCCATTATTACTTGTAGGTACATATATTATGAGTAACTAATTCTTGTAGCATTATTAGATCATCATTTTGATAATTAACAATCAATGTGTTAGTTAGGTTCAGTATTGATCGAAGTATTTCATAACACAATAATTTGTGTGTAAACAGACATTATGTTTTAACTTGAACATAATATCTGCACCGCAGGGTTTACAAGTTGTGACATTTTAAGAGTGCTCTCAAATCAATCATCTATTTATAATGATCACTTTATACTAGAACAGTGGTGCCAACTGCCAATCCTTTTTCCCCACTCGCTGAACCCTTGGAACATTTTATAAATCTCTGAGAATCTCCTTATCTGCTTTTACTCGTTCAATGAGATGTTCCATATACATGTATGGGGCGTTGAGACTTGTAGCGCATGCCACTACTTTTCACATAAATCTTTTATTAACCCTAATATGGGCCACCTTAATCTGAAGTCATTTAATGTGACTCATTCATCAACAACTGAAATTCATTGTCCGAATACGAACAACTTTATAATGAATTTTACTTTGATTTATTGTGAACACTCTACAGACTACATTTATTATCTGATCAGTTTGAAATTTATATATGTTGTTTACATTAGTGAGATGAAGGAAATGAAATGAAATGAATGGAATTTAATGGCATGTCAGCTCTAACCAGGCTATATGGTGCCAAACACATGGTGATTTTGACGAGACAAATTAAACCAATATCACATAAATATATTTATATACATAAATAAAAACAAGTATCACAGACAATAATGTTATTAAAAATAAATACAAATTTCAACAATTTCCATCTTTGCAATTTCCGTTTATAACTTCTAGAGTTATGGCCCTTGTTTTACTTTGTTGAACCTTGTGAACACTCTAACAACTTAAGTTATCATCCGATCTGTATTATTTGAATTAATAAAATGATAAGGCCTGTTAAATTTCATCAATTTCCGTTAATAACTTCTAGAATTATGTCCCTTGTTTCAATTTGTTAAACCTTGTGAGCGCTCTATGGACAAATGTTATCATCCGATCTGTATGAAATTTTTATGTATTATTTAGATCACTAAATCAAAGAAGGCTATTGAATTTTAACAATTTCAATTAATTACTTCTATAGTCATGGCCCTTGTTTTTCTTTGTTGAACCTTGTGAACACTCAATCGACAAAAGTTATCCTCCGATATGTATGAAAGTTATTTGCATTATTTAGATCAGTAAAACGAATAAGACTATTGAATTTCAGCAATTTCTGTTAATTAATTCTGGAGTTATGGCCCTTGTTTCACTTTGTTGAACGCCTTGTGAAGCTCAAATGACAAAAGTCATCATCTGAACTGTATTAGATTTAAAAGCATTATTGAGATTAGTAAAACGAAGAAGCCTTTTGAATTTAAGCAATATCTGTTTATAACTTCTACAATTATGTCCCTTATTTCACTTTGTTGAAACTTGCGAACATTCGATGTGTATGAAATCGATATCAGTGTCTTGTAAATGCTCCTATTACCTCATAAATATGTGACAACCCTTGTCGACTGCTCGGACAATTTAGCTGCTGTGGTCATATGTTTTGTTACCTTGCAACCTATCTTTCTCCATGCAGTCTGTTTTAGAACCACTGTACTAGACCATCTGTATTCCGACAAAACCCACCATAAAAAATTACAGTCATACATACTCTTGACTAAATTATTTAAATCCCATTTAGTAACTGACTTAAGGGCATGTTCCACTTTTCACTTAAGTCTTTAACAAACCCTAATACCTTAATCTAAAATCAGTTAATGTGACTCTTGATTTACTAAGGATGGTTTTATTTGTATTTTATTAATTTGAAAAATAGTGATTTTAATGAAAATTGGAAATGGTCGAGAGTAATGTCAGTCATTCAGACTAGATCTTGGTCTGTGTATTTCCAGAGATAAGATATGTGGTATTCTGCAGATCACATGATGAATGTATTAAGACATTAAATAAATTTGATTTTCTTTGTCATTTCAGGTCAGAATAGATTTGGCAACAAGAAAGAAAATGTTGTTTATGAAAAAGTGAGTAAAGAAAATCCAGATATGGCAGAAGTGGAATTACCGAGGAAGGAAGCGGACATTCGTGGAGAGGGCGCCACTGTCAGACGAATTAACTCAGAGGTTTCGTTCTATGAGGAAGAAAAAGACAATATTAGTAGTAAAAATGATCCTTATAAAGCTTTAGAACGTTCTCAGTCTGAGGCAACTCTGCCCTGGAATTCAGAATGCGATGGCGCCTTCGATTTTCCTACCAGTCTACGTGATTTTGAGGCTGCTCACAGTGGTCACAATGTATCTGAATGTACGAAAGTGTATTTTGATCTATCAAGAGCTGAACCATATGAAAAGGTTCAGCATTGTGAAAGTACAACAAGCATGAAGCAGGTTTACTCTGGAAGAACTCTGGAACCAATTCCGCAAGATGAAGAACTTCAGACTGGAGATTTATCTCATATTTATGCTAGTCAGCGTTCAATATCTAACGATAGCACGTCCAGTAACGGGAGTGGTGACGTTAATGATATTGGTTATAATTATAAAGGGGTGACAACTACTAAAGAGGTCAGCACATCATCATCATCATCGTCAATAAAAGTCACAAAGACGACGAAAATACAAGAAATGTCGAAATCAAAAGCATCTGTTAAATCTAGTTTCCAGATTTATGCACATTCCTTGAAACAGAAAATCCGACAGCTACAAATGGGATCTGTGCCGGAGCAGATTATAGCTATGCAGGAGATGAACACGTTAATGGAGCAGGCATGGTCCATGCCTATATATGGTCGTGAGGTAGCATATGGTCTGTGCGATATTTTACGTGAGGAACACGCTTTTGAAATTATTGTGAACAACTGTGCCTCGACAAACAGGGAATTATTACAAGCGTCTGCTTTGCTTTTGGAGCAGACGTTGACAACAGGGAATCGTATTCAAGTTGCAGATACAGGATTAGAAACTGTGGTGAAAATGACAGTCGATACAAAATCTGACAATGGAATAGCAGAGACTACAACAGGCATTTTGGAAAGTTTATTCAAAACCTCAGAAGAAACGTGCTCACGTGTTATTTATTTAGGCGGTTTGGACGTGATCATTCATTGGTGTCGTTGTAGTGATATAATGATTCTGCGACATTGTGCAATAGCATTATCTAATCTTGCCTTGTATGGAGGCTCTGAAAATCAACAGGAAATGACAAAGCGTAAAGTACCAGAGTGGTTATTTCCCCTTGCTTTCAGTGACGATGACAGTGTACGATATTACGCATGTTTAGCTTTAGCAGTGCTTGTTGCGAATAAAGAAATAGAAATGTCCGTGTTAAATTCTGGGACTTTGGAACTAGTTCTTCCATTTATCGAGAGTCATAGTCCAGACGAATTTGCACAAATGGATATAACACATCGTCATGGTCGATCAACGGGCTGGTTAAAAAGACTAGTGCCAGTTTTATCCAGTAAACGAGAGGAAGCCCAGACGCTGGCTGCCTTCCATTTTGCGATGGAGGCAGGAATCAAAGCAGAGCAAGAAAGAAGAGATGTAAGTAGATTCAAGGTTATTTGATGTGCTACCCTTTGAACTCCAAACTTCTCAGGGACAAAATAGGACACCAGCTAACTAGGCCAGCAGTATTAGCATTTATTGTTACATACTTGTCAAATAACTGTAAAAGCACTGTTAAATGATGGCTCATCAGTTAATTACCAAAGGCTAAAGTATTTGAACTGAAACATTATCTAAACCCACTTATATCAATGGATATCCCATTTATTCCGGTTGCCAAACCCAATATTTCGAGTGAACCTGGAAAGTGTATACAAAGTTTTTTTTATGATTGATTTTAGTAGCCTAGGGTGTCCTCTTTCAGAATCTGATGGGTGAACCTTGGCCTCCTTGAGCGTTTTGAGAAATTCAAGATGGCGTCCAAGACAGCCGCCACATCAAATAATCCCCTATAGCTCCCATAGTATTTATTCTAGGATGATAATTTTGGTGTCTAACCATATGTTTCTGGGGTCAAGGAATATATATTTCTGGACATAGGAGCATGTGAGTGATAGGATAACACCACATACATCCCTATCAGGGGCTCCAGAGTCACATGGGTCGGTCCTGAAAAGGGAGACACAAGCTGTTTGTTGAACATTTAAAAAAAAAAAAAATTCTACCTGCAAAACAGGAACATAACCTCCACAAAACTAGGTAATATTCTGTTTAATCCTTTAGTCGTGTTTCTGGCTGCAACCTGTGACAGCACAAGCACAGTTCTGGATCAAGTTCCGGCGGATTCGGATCTTCTAGTGAACGCCACACAGTAGCTTTGCGAACCCTTTTTTTGGCGTTCACTACAAATGCATCATTGGTTGGAGCTAGACTACATGGTTTAGGTGGAGATGATGACGATACATTTCCAGTTTTGGATGCCTATACCCCAGTGTGTTTAAGTCATAGATTTGCAAGAGCTCTGTCCATAACAAGCTTACAGTGGAATTGCCAATTGAGGAAAGAACAACCGTTGACATTGGTCATACTACGGAGAAACTCACATGAATTATCATTGAAATCCTGCCAGCTCATGCTCTTACTGGATGTGACATGGTTACATGTGGCTACGTCGTGGGGAAAGGAACAGCTTTGAAAGTGGTTAGAGCTTGATTGTATTCTTTCTCACTCGTCGGAGTAAAAGACACTCCAATAGAATCATTGCTTATACAGGCCACTCTATTTATGTCAGCTTGTTATGGACAGAGTTGTCTGAAACACGCTGGAGGGCTTGGACATCTAAAACTGTAAATGCATCGTCATTATTCCCCACCCAAACCATGTAGTCTTGCTCAACGAATGATACATTTGCAGAGAACGCAAAAAGAGCTCATCACCAAGCTATTGTGTGGTGTTCACTGGAAGATCGTAATCCACCGGAACTTGATCTGGAACAGTTTTGTTGGGAGAAGGATACTAAATTGAGAACATTACAACTGGACAACTTGCTCCGGAGTCTGTCATGTGGCTCATTAGATGTGGATACAAGAGTGACAGCTCATGTAGTATGTGTGCTTGTAGCTGCACTAGGGATGGCACAGAATATACAGTATTTTGCGCTTTTGCTGTCACAGGTTGCAAACAGAAACACGACGAAAGGATTAAACTGGATATTACCTAGTTTTGTGGAGGTTATGTTCCTGTTTTGCATGTAGAATTTGGTTTTTTAAATATTCAACAAACAGCTTGTGTCTCCCTTTTCAGGACCGACCCATGTGACTCTGGAGCCCCTGATAGGGATGTATGTGGTGTTATCCCATCACTCACATGCTCCTATGTCCAGAAATATATAGTTTGTCTCCAGATATAGTTTGGTTTGGTGAAATAATCGCCCCCAACCGCCGCTAACGAGTTAAAGGGCCATATTGTCTGGCATGTTTGATTTTACTATCATCTAATCACCCCACAACATAATAAACAATTTCAGTGTATTCCTTGACCCCAGAAACATACGGTTAGACACCAAAATTATCAACCTAGTCCTAGAATAAATACTATTGGAGGTATAGGGAATTATTTGATGTGGCGGCCATCTTGGACGCCATCTTTAATTTCTCAAAATGCTCAAGGGTGACTGAGGTTCAACCAGCAGATTCTGAAAGAGGACACCCTAGACTACTAAATCAATCATAAAAAAAACTTTGTATACAATTTCCAGGTTCAGTCATAGTTCTGCCGGACTAATTGTAATTTGAGGAAATCCTTTAAACATACATTATGCAAGAGCTAAATCTGCCAATTGCAGGTCTTTCTTTAGGCCTGAAATGTTATCTAAATTATTAATTAGACATTAATTAACTGATCCAGACCATAATCAACTCTCGATTTCCATTCATAATTTAATCATGAAATGGATGATCGAGACTATGGTTTTATACGCCCACATTTTCATGTGAACGTATATTGTCGTCGCCCCTGTCCGTCCGTCCGTCCACAATTGAAATATAGGTTTATCACCTTAAGATCTCGGTTCCTTTCTATATTGGCATCTATCGGACCATAACTTCATGGATTATGGCCCCTGATTGTACGAAAAATCACGTTTTTGGCTTGTGAACACTGTAGAGGTCACAATTTTTATCCGATTTTGTTGAAACTTTAAATGTAAGTTTATAACCCAAAGATCTCGGTTCCTTTCGATATTTGCGCATATCGGACCGTAACTTCCTGAATTATGGCCCCTGATTGTACGCAAAAACGCGTTTTTGGCTTGTGACCCTATAGAGGTCATAATTTTTATCCGATTTAAAAAAAACGTATTATTATATCACCGTTTAACCCTAAGGACGGTTGAGTTCGAATTTCGTGAAAATCGCCCCAAAACTGACAGACAAAATGGCCGCCGTCCGTTCTCAAATAGCGTAAAAATATGGTATATCAAGGTTGTGGACCCTATAGAGGTCACAATTTTTATCCGATTTTGTTGAAACTTGAAATGTAAGTTTATAACCCAAAGATCTTGGTTCCTTTCGATATTTGCGCATATCGAATTGTAATTTCCTGAATTATGGCCCTTGATTATAGGAAAAATCACTTTCGTTTTAGCTTGTTTTCTATCCATCTCTCGAAAATGTGGGCGTATCCTGCCTGGCAGCCGCTGGTTTATTGTACAGATCGAGGCTAGGCCAAAATTTCAATCGCCTAATTCTCGGTTCATAGTGGATCAATTTGACTGAAATTTTCAGCAAATTGCCTTTACATTATCTAGTTTTTAACTATTAAAGTGAGAACTGCCAGCTCTTTATCTTATCTTCCATAATGTATCTTTAAGCATTATGAATGAATCTGGTGAGGAATATCGGACATTTTGGCCAACCAAGTTTTTTATTTTCTAACCCCCACCCTAATAGAGCAGGAGCCCAGGGGGTTAACCTAGCTGAAAAGTGTACCAATTTTCTCCTATATGGTATCAATGTATGTATATCTGGTATCATCAGAATGTAAGTCTGCCGGGTTTCTGGTGGTGGGTGTGGTATTCCACGCCCAAAATGCCATGCCCCCCAACTAGTCTAGATTAGCTCAAAAGTGTACCACATGAAAATCGCACAGCAATGTACCGTACATCTTCAGGTATTACAAAAACACTCTGACAGACATTTCTAGTGGTGGGGTACACCTGACAGAGCTTTTTAATTGCCATTTGTAGTGATGGAGTATCCCTGACAAGAGTTATCTAATTTCCAGACCAAAGCTAGGCTAGATTAGCTCAAGTCTGCACCACCTAAAACAGCTTTGGAGTTGTTCAGTACCACCACAGGAATCATGAATGACCATTGCCAGACAGTTTTTGCGGTGGGTTGCCCCTAACAGACATGCCCAAAATAACACGACCCCCAACTATGACAGATTAATCGGCACTGTTCCTGTGGTCCCAAAAATTAAAAATTGTGCCAGGATGCGTAGAATACTGATACCTAGCACATATGGAAAAGGCGATAAACTGTGGTTGTAGGAACAATTTTATTTTTCAAAAACGCATTTTTAGCCCCATAAAATGTATTTTGCCCAAAAATCAATTTCTTGCAATCGCAGTTTATCGCCTCTTCCATACGTGCAAGGTATTAGTATCCTACGCATCCTGGCTAAAAATCTAATTTTTTAGAACACGGGAACAGTGCCTGCAAAGCTAGCCTAGTTGGGGGTGTGACATTTTGGGGCGTGTCTGTTAGGGGTAACCAGATATACATACATTGATACCATATAGGAGAAAATTGGTACATTTTTAAGCTAGGTTGACCCTCTGGGCTCCTGGTCAATAACCCTAACTAGATGGATTTCAACAGTCCTAGTCTGTAGTGTCCTCTTATTTGACTCTGTGTTTTCTTCAGATTTTGTATGATATTGGTGTGATAGAGCCTTTAAAACAACTTGCCAGTTCTCCTAATTGTACAGCTTCCAGGCTGGCAGCACAAGCCCTTAAAATAATGGGTGAAGAAGTTCCGAAAAAACTTTCTAAACAAGTTCCATTATGGTCAGTTGAAGATGTCTCTCACTGGGTTGCACAGGTAATTTACATGTTAAAGAGACATTATCTTTTTCAGCTTGGGGGGTTGGATGGCCGAATGGTTAGTGCATGCGCGTTGTAGCATAGGGTCTGTCATTGAATCAGCTGATGTGGTTTCGATTCCCCAGTTGTATGTGACAAGGAGTAGGGTCACCTGTCCAACCTCGTGGGTTTTTTCCGGGTCCTCCGGTTTCCTCCCACTGGTAAAGACCCCTACACGCAAGTGAATAGTTGAAATAAAATTGAACCATATGTTATTCCCGAAATTCCCTAGTTTGTGTCGAGTAGACGTTGAACCAATCTATCTCTCTCTCAGCTAAAGAATACATGTATATATTAATAGGCTATGGCGTTGCACATTAGAGTAGGAAGTATTATAACTACTAGGAAACCGGAGGTGGCAGCGCTATGCTATCAAGCCTATGTCACTCCCTGGCTTGAGTTGCCTTGGGGCAGCACTAGTGTAGCCACCAACCCCGAACAGATGAACTAACAGACAGTAATAAATATATAGATTAAATTAATATAAAATCATATTCAAAACTAGAACTGCGACGCAGTAATGACGGGTTTCACCGGTGCCCCGTTACCCTTGAACACATGTCACTTCCTGTACCGATGAAACTTTTAAACAGGTTTCCATGTAAGCATTTCACACATCAAATAAAATGTACGCAGAATCAACCAAATCCGGCAATATCAATTCATTGTATACATTTGTTACATGTAAGTGATCCTGACAAAATTACATTACTTCCGGTGATAATGAAAATTCTAAATTAGTTTTATGAAATCATAGATGGCATAAGGCATCACATGGTGAAATTTTTTATGTAAATCAAATAATATTTGCCACTTTTATAGAACAAAAACCTTGAAAAGTGACCTGTAGAAAATCGTCCATTTTTGGTATCTGTATGGTCGCGTGGGTTTAATCTATTTGTTGATTGGAATCAAATATCATAATTTTAAAAACAATACAAATCAGACTGATTTGAATAAAATATCTGTTTTGAAGGCTAAAAATACAGTTTTTGCCACTATGACGTTACTTCCGGTAAAAGTAAAAGTGTTAAATTACTTGTATGAAATCGTAAATGGCATTAGGTATCACACACGGGGAATTTTATGAAAATCGAATGATAATTGACACTTTATGGACCAAAAACCTTGAAAAGTTACCTGTTGAAAATCGTCTATTTCTCCGCAACTGAACAAGTTAGTAACCATTTTGTGATATCTATATGATCGTTTGGGTTCATTCTATTAGTTGATTGGAATCAAATATCAAAATTTTAAACAAGTAACAAATAGGACTCATTTGAATAAATTACTGGTTTTGAAGGTTATAAATACAATTTTTGCCCAAATTACGTCATTTCCGGTGACATTGAGGCAAACTAGCGTAAAAAGCGACTCATACAAAATTGCCCATTTCTCGGCAACTGTTCATACTACAAATTAATTTTCACATACATTCTCTTCGTATGGATTATTGCTACTAGTTTATGAAAGTTGCGAAGAAATATTTTAAAATATGAAAAGCCTGAATGGGTTGTGAATAGCTCATTTTTTCATCTTTTTTCACCTTTAAATCGAAATGATCCGAAAACGAAATAAAAATTTAAAAAACTGAGCGCGATGATTTTTGCGCATTAACAGGGCAAACTCTTTCAGTCATAGCAGATTTGAAAAAAATAAAATTTGCTTTCAAAAAGTGGTACCGAACTCTCAAAATTGCAGTTTTTGCTAAATTTATGTTACTTTCGCTATCGAAAGGAAAATGTACCGGTAACAAAAAAAATGACATTTTGGACCGCGGAACATATGAACTTTGTTTTATAGAAATCGAACAATAAATAATTAATCCAGGACTGAAAAACGTATTACCCAATGGGGGCCAAGGAAAAATACGGTGACAAAAAATGTTGACATTAGTGTTTCACACTGGCTACGCAGTGTGAAACCCTAATAACAATAGACCTGCCTAATTATCGAAAATCGGAACACTGGCCTGGTTTGAGCAAAGCATTCTAAATGAGGATTTGCTGAATATCTTGAAATCACTTAAGGCTATAATAGCTGTACACACAAGCCAAGTTCTGGCAACATCAGCCTGATAAGGCCTGTCTAGTGTTAAGTGTTAACTGTCATCAACAGTCAGTAATAATTACTAGAAAAAACCATTTAACCACAATATACATATATAATCTAATTTCAACACTGGCAATGTAACTATCTAGTCAAAAATTATTCCTTGCGCTACCAGCAAGATCTTCATCAGGCTGAAATTGTTTTCCTGTGAAATTATTCCAAGCCAAATTTCTGAGAATGTCTTTTGTTGCACTTGGAGAATATGAGTAGATTGTTCATGAAGAAATGAAATGAAATAGGGTTTAATGTCCTACAATTCTGCACTGACTGGGCTAATAAAAGTAGGCATAGCCATGCATAGTGTTATAAAGAAAAATTTGCCCGGATATGGCCTGCCTACTCTTATATATCGAATTCCAACTGTCAAGGGTTAATTCTTTTACGTGCATGCCAATGTGTACACAGGAGCTCAGTTTTTTACCTGTTCGTATGAAGGGAAAATACATACAATTTTTGACAGCAAAATTGTGCAGACTGCATAACAAGTTAACCCTATTCAATTTATTTGGTTTAAGTAACTTAGCACAATTGGCACCAGATCTGAAACAATGTTTTGTTTATCTGTGTTATGCTATTATTGATGCTATTACTGAAAATAGATGTCCTCTTATTACACTCTGACTAAAAGTCAAATAAAAACAATCACTGTGTGCCTGTACAGTATATCATACTCATGTACCTGTCTACCCCCTGAGGCAAAATAAATATGTGCCAATGATTGAATTATCTCCCTTGTCATAGTATAACCTTGATCTGTTATTGAACAACTAACATAGTGTTTTAAATACGTTGACACTGATTGACATATGGCTTCCCAGTACAGGTAAACATACTGACAGTGATAGACATGGTGGTTACAATTTAATTAAAGATATTAATTGGCTGTTGTCATATATTTTTGTCCTATGCCTTTCAGAGAAAGCAGGGAACTATTTAAATTGGTTCGTACATCCGTCTGTCTCTCTGTCCGTTACACCTTTTGGAAAACAATAACTCTGCTTCTTATTAAAGTAGAATGTTCAAGCTTGGTATCCAGGTATAGAATGCTCAAACTAAGTTTGTTAATTAATAAGTTTCATCAATATATTGCTGTATTGAGGTAGATGAGATCAGCCTCACTAGTGAGTTGCTTATTATACACCCACATTGAAATATGGTAGTATTTTGTGGTAACCCTCCTCCATCATCCACAATTGGTTATGGACACTCGAGAGGCTAAAATTATCAACCAATAGACTTTCAATTCATACACTGTGTTTATGTTCATGAGATGATTCAGATGAAAAACCCTAGCAGTTTTTGTAGATGCTCCCATTACCTACAAAAGAATAAATATGCGACCTTTGTGAGGGGGGTTGGATGGCTGAATGGTTAGCACGTGCGTGCTGTATCATAAGACCTGTCATTGAGTCAACTGGCGGGGTTTCGAATCCCCGGGGGGTGGGTGGATGGCCAAATGGTTAGTACAGGCGCGCTGTATCATACCGTCTGTCATTGAGTCAACTGGCAGGGTTTTGATTCCCCGGTTGTACGTGACAAGGAGTAGGGTCGTCTGTCCAACCGCGTGGGTTATTTCTGGGTCCTCTGGTTTCCTCCCACTGCCAAAGACCCCTACGCGCAAGCGAATTATTGAAATAAAATTGAACCATGTGTTAATTCCGAAATGACCTAGTTTGTGTCGAGTGGACGTTAAACCCCATTTCTCTCTCTCTTTCGAATCCCTGGTTGTACGTGACAAGGAGTAGGGTCGCCTGTCCAACCTCGTGGGTTTTCTCCGGGTCCTCCAGTTTCCTCCCAATGCTAAAGACCCCTACGCACAAGCGAATTATTGAAATAAAATTAAAACCATGTTAGTCCCGAAATAACCTAGTCTGTGTCGAGTGGATGTTAAACCCCATTTCTCTCTCTCTCTTTTGCGACCTTTGTGGACAGCACAGGTGACTTCTTAATTACATGTAGTTACTGCAGGTGTATGTTTCATTGCCTGGCAAACTATCTTTTACAAAGGGTCAAATCATTTTCATGTATTCAGTCACACTTGAAATATGCTTTCCTACTTTATTGAATGTATTTCATTCAAATTTCCTCCATCCTACTTTTAGTCATACATAAGCGAAAGCCTAATGTATGGTTGATTTTGTTTCCATTCTCTCTTTCTAGGTTTTTTTGTATGTTACTTGTTTTGGGTGTAATTTCAGGTTGGTTATGGTGAATATTGTGAAAGGTTCGAAGATTGTCATGTTGATGGTGATATTTTATTACAACTAACAGATCTAGAATTAGCAGAAAGTTTAGATATGACTTGTAGAATAGCACAAAAAAGGTAGCTAGGTTACTTGAAATCATCATTGTAATGGCTGTTTGAAATTATCACTATAATAAGAGTAAGGCAGTATGAAATCTTCACTGTATGAATGTAGGGCAGTATGAAATCTCCACTATAAGAGTATAGGGCAATGTGAAATTACCAATTTGGGAGTATAGGGCAATATGAAATCCACAATGTGGGGAGTACAGGGCAATATGAAATTTGGGAGTATAGAGCAGTATGAAATCCATAATATGGGGAGTATAGGGCAATATGAAATCTGCACTGTAGGAGTATAGGTAGTTTGAAATCCCCAATGTGGGGAGTATAAAGCAGTATAAATCCACAATGTGAGGAGTATAGGGCAATATGAAATCTCCACTGTAGAATAGGGCAATATGAAATCACCACTGGAGGACTATAGGGTAGTATGAAGGAAATTTGGACTGTTTTAATTGAACTATGCGTGTAAGCTTGATACATATATTCATGCCATTTACATATATATATGTTTTGGTGAATTTACATATCAAATAAATATAATGATTTAAATGAAATCTTTTCAGATTTTTAAGAGAGTTGAAAGATTTAAAAATTACTGCTGATTACACGTCATGTGATCCGTATAAGCTAGCTGAATGGTTAGAAGAAATATCACCTGAGTTTGCCCAGCATACGTACAGTATGTTAAGCTGTGGTGTAGATCGTCAATCATTACAGTTCTTAACGGATGATCATCTCAGATACGACTGTGGTATCTATAATGGTGTCCATAGGATGAAACTTCTAGAAAAAGTTAGAAGTAAGTTTGGAAATTTTGGAATTATTTTCAAGAAAACTTGAGTCATAGTCGATAAATAATGATATTTATTCAATGATAAACAGTCACTTTATCCAGCGTTCATCTTTACCATTAACTCGATTATGGTATCTGAAATCAAATTCACAAAGATATACCCATGAGGTTGGACAGGTGACCCTACTCCTTGTCACGTACAGGTGGGGAATCGAAACCACGACAATTGACTCAATGACAGACCTTATGGTTTCACGTTCACACATTTAACCAGTAGACCACCCAACCCCCCTGCTAACCAGAGGTTCACAGATTTGATCAAGGTATTGCCTGAGAAAGTTCATCAATACTTTCCAACATGGTTTTGCCTTGTCAGGGATGCACTAACAGAATGACCCGTCTAGTGGTTTAAAAATCGTTAGATTTATCAATGCTACTCAAATGAGAAGTGGTATCTGGTATTCTAGAAAGAATCAGCATACATAGAAAACTAAGTGGGGAGGTTGGATGGCCAAATGGTTAGCACGTGCGCGCTGTATCATAAGGTCTGTCATTGTGTCAACTGGCATGGTTTCGATTCCCGGTTGTATGTGACAAGGAGTAGAGTCCCCTGTCCAACCTCGTGGGTTTTCTCCCGGTTCTCTGTTTTCCTCCCACTGCTAAAGACCCCTACACTTAGCGAATTATTGAAATAAAGTTGAACCATGTGTTAGTCCCGAAATGGCCTGGTTTGTGTCGAGTGAACATTGAACCCCATTTCTTTCCATCCATCCATCCATCCATCCATCCATCCATCATCCACAATTTATTGTAACCACTGTGCAGATTATATTTATCATCCGATTGCTTTGAAATTTATATGATATTTACATTGATGAGTTTTCAGTAATTTCCATTAATTACTTGTACTTTTGTGTATTAATTGTAGTAATATTGTGTTTTGGGTTTTTTATACAGAACTTAAAAAAAAGTGTGATGGTATGACAGAAATAGCTGGTGATATTACTGATGGATTAGAATCTGTCATGAAGACAATTGATTGTTTCATTAGTTATAGAAGATCAAACGGTTCTCAATTAGCCAGGTATGGTATATCTCTTCTATAATATTCCAGGAGTTGCAGTGGCTCAGTGAGTAAGGTGCTTGCTCACTAACTAGGTCTTGGCTTCAATACAAAGAAAGTTCCTCAGGATTTTCTAGCATGGTTCCCCCTTGTCGGTGGTGCATGACAGAGGGCCTGCAAGGAATAGTGTCTAGTTGTTTGGATGGCCCTCAGGTTCTGTACTGTACATAAAAGAATCCTTGACAGTTGGTATTTGTAGAAGAATAGTTTTACTGGAGCATTTTCTCTCGTCCAAGCCCCTTGCATGAAGAGAGATCACCACAGCAGGCAGGGCAGTGTTAAAGGCACTTATATGTAGTAATTTGTCTACTTTCAGTTTCATATCGATTACTAATATTTAGTAATTTGTCTACTTTCAGTTTCATATCAATTACTAAGTAATTTCTCTACTTTCAGTTTATTAAAAGTTCATCTACAGTTACGAGGTTTTTCTGTGTTTATTGATATAGAGAGATTATCAGCTGGTAAATTTGATGAGAATTTATTAAAGAGTATTAAACTAGCTAAAAACTTTCTACTTGTATTAACACCTAATGCTCTAGATCGATGTATTGATGATCAGGAGAGTAAAGATTGGGTACATAAGGTACGTACTTTCATGTATTTATTACAAATATTGATCAAAACAAGCGATTTCCAACATCCAGTCAAATTGTAAAAATCTGCTTGAGACTTTTTGATTTAATGCTGTGTTTTATTCAGTTTAAAGGGTTATCTGTAAAATTTGGGATAATTAAGTTCGAGTCATTTGATTGCTTGTTAAATATGAGGTGGCTTTCAATCTACTGAGTTTTCAAAATTACCAGAATTCATTTGCATGACACAAGTTTAAAACAAATACCCGGTAATGAAAAATAGTCTGATAATGTTTAGCGCAACTGTCCTGGTTGAGAAATGAAATGAAATGGGGTTTAACGTCCTACTGTTTTGCTCCTTTACTGGGCTAATGAAGACGGGCATACGCCATACAGTGTGTTATGAGGGAAATTTTTGCCCGGGCAGCGACATTATCGCCTACTCTTATATCGAATTCCAACTGCCAAGGGATCTTTTACGTGCATTCAAACGTATACACGGGACCTCGGTTTTTCGTACCATCTGAGGGACTAGACAGCTGTCCTTGTCAGGCCCTCCGTCCTGCATCACTGACAAGGGGGAGTCCTGGTTGAGAGAGATACAAGTTTTTACAGTATACTCACATAAGATGGAAGGATGTTTTAATGGGTCAGATTAGACTTTCAAGAAAGCACATTAAAGGGGAGATAACTCTTATATAAATTTCTGTTGTGTCTATCAGTTTGATTATTTATTTTATAGGAAATAGCAGCAGCTATAGAAGGAGGTTGTAATATCATACCATTAATGGACAATTTTGATTGGCCACCAGCAGATAAATTACCAGCAGACATGAAAAATATTGTGTTTTTTAATGGAATTAGGTATAAATTTTGATAATATAAATAGTATTTGCTAAGGGAGAATTTAATGTAATCCATTTGGTTTGATTTTATACACTTACTCATATTTTAAGATCATCTTTTGACATTCTTAAGATTAGTTAGAAAAACAGTTCAGCTGATAAGATATGGGGAATGATCTTCCTACCGCCCAAGGCCATTACTTACGGAATAGTCTCCCATACAGCATAACTGTGTTATTATAAAACAGTTGAACTGATAAGATACAGGGAATGATCTTCCTACCGCCCAAGGCCATTACTTACGGAATAGTCTCCCATACAGCATAACTGTGTTATTATAAAACAGTTGAACTGATAAGATACAGGGAATGATTTTCCTCCCAAGTCTGTTACCTATGGATAACTTTCCCACACAGCTTATAAAACGTACTGGGGTACTTTATGTAGAAGTTATACTCTATAAATGTTAGACTAGTTTGCATTGGTCTGAATATTTAACAATTTAATGAATAATCGTATTGAGAAACTGCAGTTGCTAACGACTGCTGATTGATTTAGTGATCATTTCATCCGCATTCTTTGAGGGAACCAAGCAAGCCAATCATATGAAATAATAGTTGCCAGCACAACTACATGGACATGGTTCTCACCTGTCATCCTGTTGCTGATAATTGTTGGAAATCGGTGAAAATCAATAGGTTCATCAGAAATGAAATGGGGTTTAACGTCCTACTGTTCTACTCCAACTGATCTAATGCAGATCGGCTTACGCCATACAGGGTCCTAAGAGGGAAATTTTGCTCAGACAGCAGCGCTACAGTCTACTCTTATATCGTTTTCCAATTACCAAGGGTTCTTTTACGTGCACACCGATGTGTACACAGGACCTCATTTCTACATCACATCTAAACGACTATACTTTGTCCCTTGCCAGGCAATCTGTCCTGCATCACTGACAAGGGAGAACCATGCCGGAATATGCCAATGAACTTTCTCGGTCAACACCAGGATCGAGCATGGGACCTCCAGGTTAATGAGTTAACTTCTTACTCACTGAGCCACCACGGCTCCCAAATAGATTCTTCATCTCATCAACTTCAACACTGTGTACATTTCCAATTAGATGATCACTAATACCCCTAGTTCTCCGGTTTTCTTCATATTGCTGAAAGAACTATGATTGAACCCATTTCCTAATTCTGTTACTTTTTTTACCATTTCATTATTTACTATCTGTCATTGTAGCCTATGTTTTTGTTTCAGGTGGATTCATGATTATCAAGACGCATGTGTCGATAAATTAGAACAGTTTTTACGTGGTGAAGTAAATGTTAGAACACGAGGTAAATTACAACATATGGGTAGCCAGGGTTCGTTTGATCTGCCTAATGATGTCTGTGGTTTAAATTCATTAGATAATTTATAGTAGTGTGTGTTTGTTATTATTTATTTGTTTAACTCTAACTATTTATTGACAAATCACAGAAATAAGAACGGAGATCAATTCTGAGAATAATGTTTGTGGGTCATTATTATTTGTATTGCAAGTTTGTTAAGCCTGGTTTTAAAACAATCTTAAATTTGTGAAACATGGAACTTGTCATACATATTGAAATAAGGCACATATAACAGATTTCGTCAGACCCAAATTTAGACATTTTCAGGCACATTTCCTCTGGTGCCTGTCACCTTGACCCATAGCTGATGTCTGTTTTCAGTGTTTTTATCAATATTTTAAACATGTGTCCAGCACGAAGTTCACAATGGCCAGAAATATTTCAGTAGTACAACAAAATTATTATTTCCATTAGGAAACAAAAACTTTCTTTCACCTGTGTATGTTTTGACAAACACCGAGTCTGATCTAGAGAGATATATTTATAAAAATTGAATGAAAATCAAAAAAGAATTAAATTAAATTAAAAATGAAAATGAAAATGTTCCCCTTTTTTTTCGTAACAAATACAGACTGTAAACTGCCTAGTTGTGTTTGCTATATATATTATCAATTCAGACGGGCAGCAAATTGAAATGTTTAAGGAAAATTTTGGCTCTGTTAAAATGCTGTGAATGAATATTGCTTAATGTATATCTCATAATCAAAATCATACAATCAAAATATGCCTCATTGTTGGCTTTCAGATGTGAGTAATGATAAGGCACTACAGATAAATATTTAATCTATGTATGAAATGAAATGGGGTTTAACGTCCTACTTTTCTGCACCCACTGGGCTAATGAAGACAGACGTATGCCATACAGTGTGCTATGAGTGAAATTTTGTCTGGACAACTGTCAAGGCTTCATTTACATACACACATGTACACTGGATTTCAGCTTTTTGTCGCATCCGAACAGCTACACGGTGTCCTTTCCAGGCCCTCTGTCCTGCACCACTGACAAGTGGAAATCATGCTGGAAATCCTGAGTAACTTTCAGGACCAACACCAAAATCAAACTGCAGACTTCCTGCTTAGTGAGCTAGCGCCTTAGACACTGATCCACAGCAGCTCCAAATCTATTTATGAATTCCTCCTTATCTTAAAATTTTATAAAGGGCATTTATTATGATGATTTCTAATTTTACCAGTTTATTTGCAAGAAGGTTGAAGTAGACGAAATGCAAGAAAGATTCACATAGGCTATGTTGTCTGAAATATCACCCTGTATGGAAGCAGACGTTAAACCCTAGTGTAGTTGTAGTAACCATAAACATATAATAATGATATTATTTATTGTGAATTATACATTAAAAATGTCTGACTCATTATGGTATTAAATGTAGTATTTATTATCCTATCAGTATTGTTTTAGTTTTGTAGTTTTCTTAGATAATTAAAGGTAATTCTTTTAATTTGATTAATTTTTACCAGTATGATTGAAATAGAATATAGACGATCTATAGATATTAAAGACAACAACTTGAAGTTTAGCAAAATAAGCTTGGTTAACTTTGGGTAAATCTAGGTCCAGTCTTTAAAATTTTATTGCTGATTTAATTTATATGCCCAGTAATTAATGCTGAGCAGTTTCAGTCGCATATTAAATAGTACTGGTGAGTGATTTCTTCAGATTAATCAGTCCAAAGCAATCATCTTGACAACACAGTAATTAGTGGTAATCATTGTTCTCGACAACACAGTAATTAGTGCTGAGGCTCAATGATTAGTAATCAGTGACATCTACACACTAATTACTATGACAAGTTTGTTAACAAACTATTGATGCGAAGTAGACTATCATTGAACATAATCAACATTATCTTTAAGACTAGATGTAGAATGAAATTGATATGTAGCCTATTGTGTTTGTTTTAACTTCAGTATCATTGTATTAAGATTGATAAAAGGGCATTCATTATTTCCAATACATTTTGTGCTATTATTATAACTTATATTTGTGTTGAGTGATATATTAATATAATCATATATCTATTTGTTTGTTTGTTTATTGTAGTTCAACAATTACTTTATTACTGACTGTATTTAAGATATGTTTAATATTAAAAAAACAAGCATATGTAAGTTCTGTATATTGTAGGGTACATTGTACCCTTGTTCAAAGCCGAAATTAAACTTACATGCCTGTAGATGTAAGTTTTGTATTAAGGGTACATAATACCCTAGGCTTAATAAAAATCCAAACTGAACTTACATGGATGCAACTGTATGGTGCATCACGCAATGGACCTCAGCTAGAAATACAAAAAATATATCAATATCTTTCTATATTGATAGACTGATAAATTTAAAGAGGATATTGATGTGGGATTAATTAGGACTGTAGGACTAGAATATATAGCAGCTATTGTCATTTATAGATAGTTTGTGACATACAAGTAGCCTATGTAATTGAGTGATAATTTTGATAGCTTCAACAAGAAAACTAGGTGAAATTAGTTTGACGATAACCCATTACCTTACCATGTGTATAAATGATGCTGTGTTTAGCTTGTTATTATACATCAGACCGTGTATGTTTCTCATTTTGAAGTTCAAATAGCTAACAAATGTTTGTTGTACTTTTGTATTTTACTATAGTGCTGAGTTTCTATGGTGCTGCTCCTGCTTAATCTGAATTCTCTCTTAATTCAAGCTTGTACAAACGCTGCAAGATTTTGTACAGTGTTAAATTTATATTTGATTACCTTATAAAACACTTATCTGAGTAAGTAGTTCCATGATTGTTCAAAGGTGTTCTATTCCCATATTAAAACCCTTAATTCATCTTGTCCCGCTAAACCAGCTTATTAATTTACTGGAGTCCTTATTTCACAAACTTTGAAATCTTCTAAAATTGATTGTAAGTAAGTATTCTTAAAACTGTACTCTTAAAACTATAAGCATTCTTAAAATCACAGTAAGTTGTAATCATAGTAAGATAGTATACTTAAAACTGTAGTAACCATAGCACTCATAAAATTATAGCAGACACTCTCGAAACCATAATAAATGTAGCACTCTTAAAACCATAGTACCTATAGCAATCTTTTGGCATTCTTAAAACCCAAATAAACATAGCACTCTTAAAACCATAATAAGTACAGTATTCTTCAAGCCATAGTAAGTATAGCATTTTTAAAACCAAAATAAACATAGCACTCTTAAAACCATAGTAAGTATAGCCTTCTTTAAGCTATAGTAAGCATAGCACTCTTCAAAAGTTAAACCATAGTAAGTTAGCACATTTATACTATAATGAAAGAACATTTTCAAAACCATAGTAAGAATAGTATTCATATACTGTTTGAATGGCATTTAGTAATTGAACACATTAAAATAAACACAACAGTTCTATGGATAACAATTACTATATTTCTATAAAGCTACGTTTCAACAACTATAGAAATATAGTAATTGTTATTCATAGAACTGTTGTGTTTATTTTAAGAATAGTATTCTTGATAATATAGGTGAGCAATCAATTTCAAAAGATTTAAATTTTTGTGAATGAAGTCCCAAGTAGCAGATGTTATGTTACAATGTTAAGTTATTGTGTAATAAAATGTATAAGTGGTATAACTTGTTCTGTGCTACAAGGATATGAATATATTACATGTACAGTTATGTTATTATTATTTGTTGTTATTGAATCAAATGAATTTTAGATGCAATAAAAATGTCAAAACATTCTCATTTCATTGTCTTCCTTCTTGAACCTAGACCATTTTCTATTAGGGAATCCAGTGCTCAGTGTTTCCCAACTTTTCTTCTCAGAGAACCCCACATCTGTATTTACTTTGTTCAGTCAAATTTCCCATATTGGGGTCTTTAGGATATGGGACATGTACCACAACTTCCAATATAAAGCCCCAACAATAACATGGTACATGAACCCACAGCAAGATGACCATTTCTATTATTGTGACTCTAATATCAGCTACCCCACATGGGAAGCACTGCTTTAACCAACTGATCACCATGGTCTCATATATGACCAGTGATTACAATATTTACAAACGAGGGTGCCGGGAAGAGGCATTGGATTATGAAAATGCAAAAGTAGGTGGCAGCTGGTCTCTGAATCTGCATCCAGGTAAGAGAAATAAGGGCTAAAGAGATTTGTTCTATATCTTTATTTGCTAGGGGATATCATTGGTGTGAGTAGTGTGCTCTAAAGGTCATTAACAACCTGCTTTCAGATAGGTCAATTAATGCATTCCATGTTTTAAGACATTATGGTTCAAACTTGTGAGGGTGATTGGCTGAGTGGTCTAATTTTATACATAAGGCCCGACCTTGTGGCGTTTTCTCCAGGGAATCCTGCAACTTCTTAGAAATGAGTTATTGAAATAAGATAGGTTGCCAGGCAACAAAACATACACCCACAGCAGTTAAATCAACGGAGCCGTCGACAAGGGTTGTCGCATATTTATTTTTTTGTGGGTAATTGGTGGTATTTACAAGACAATTTCATTCAGATCAGATTATGATTTTTGTCATTAATTCAAGGTTCATAAGGTTCTACAAACTGAAACAAGGACCTTAACTCTGGAAGTATGCATATAAATTTCATACAGATCGGATAACTTTATTCATTCGAACATTCACAAGGTTCAACAAAGTGAAACAAGGGTCATAACTCTAGATGTAATTAACGGAAATTTCTGAAATTTAATGGGCTTCGTCGTTTTACTCATTTAAATGATGCATATAAATTTCATAGAGATCGGGTAACTTTTGTTGTTAGAGCGTTCACAAGGTTCAACAAAGTGAAACACGGGCCATAACTCCAGAAGAAATTAACAGAAATTATTTAGAAATTAAATAAGGTTCTTCATCTCTGTGGTAAACAACTTATATCAATTTCAAAACACTCAGATGATAAATATAGTCTGTAGTGTGTTCAAAAGAAATTGTGGACGACGGATGGACAGGGGCGACGACAATGTACATCCACATGAAATGTGGCGTATAAAGACTATACCATATAATCAGAAAAGAGTGTGCTAACTATTTCTTTTTTTTTTATTTACAATCTTTCTCTTCCACGGTACGGTATCAATGTAAGTCCAAAATAAAGTTACAGTTGAGTGGACGTTAAACCTTATGTCTCTATTTGTTACGATTGTGACCATTGCATAGGGTCCCCTTGCTAAAGTATTGACCAATCAAATGTCCATGGCAGAAATGCTCCTTATTATACTTTAATTTAGTCACGGTATCAATGCGATGATACTATACACCAAGTTACACCCCTCTCAATCAATTAGAACCATAAGTTACCATTTTTCAAAGAATCCACAAATCAAATTGCTTATCTCTGCTTTGCAAGATACGAAACTCTGACAAGATATTCACCAAGTGTAAACATTCCACCTCAATTAGAGTTACTGAATGTGGCTTGTTGATGTAATAAAATTTTACAAGTCTCATCACTCTCACTCAATTAGAATCAAAGTTATCAAATTGCTTGTCCCTGTTAGCCTAAGCAGAAAATACTGTCAAGATATTCACCATTTGAACATCTGGAAGCAGAGTTATTTTGTTCTAAAAAGTGTGACAGACAGCTCAATTTAATAGTCCACAATTTCCTCCGAAAAGGAGGGGGACAAATATCTCACCAGATCAACACAATAAATAACAAGATAATTTGAATTCAAACTGGATTTAATCACTCTTGCAAACATCTCTAAAAGCTGAATATACATATTATATTTAATGTATATATATTATAACAATTCTTCTATATTCAAACAAAATATATCTAATATACATTAATTCAACAACACTGATTCCTCTATATAACCACCTGTTTTTATTCTTAACAAAATATGCAAAATCTTCATTTAATAAAGTAAAATTAGTTACAAATTGAGGCAGATGTTTTGTATGGACAGGGTATGCTGACAGTACTCTTTCCAGGGCACCTTATAACCCTTCTGATTTACTTGCAAGGTTCACATAGCTTAGAATGTCGGTTCAATTATTGTATTAAATTCTATTAACAGTTTTGACTTTATTTATCCAGACCACTATGAACCAATGAAGTTCTTCTATGCCTGTGGCCCAACAGATATTTTCGATTGATATTAACATGAATGTTTGGACGTTTTCTATAGTTTATGCAAGTTCTTATTTTGATCCTTCCAAGCATTGGAAAATTTCTCTTAAAAAAGAAAGCAATGTATAAAATTCTGGCCATGCACACCCCTCACATAAAAAACATGTTGACTTGTAATTCCATATTCTATTCCAGATCTGTTAGAATGCTAAAAAAAAGAAAACCCCAACAAAACAGGATACCAGAATCAACATAAATTTTAGAGCCCAAGGTCCGTTTCATGAAGTATACGTAAAGCTATGTAAATGTAATTTCAATAGAGTTGGAAATGAAAATTTTGATGTACATGTATAAGTAATTTCAATGTGTGCTTTATGAAATGGAACCCTAGTTAACAACTGTACAAAGATATTCAACATTTACGTTACATTTAATGACAGTATTTGTCTAGTTTACATAATTTTAATAATAATTTCTGATATAAAAAGTAACGTTATAATAAAATACCAGAAATGTGGAAAAATTCTCTTAAAAATATAGATACCATTACATATTTGATTTTAAAAAATTCTCGATCTGTTATTAAAATTGATAATGAAAACTGAAAAGGACTATTTACATAATTGATCTACAAGATAGAAAAAGAAGTCTGTTGGTCTGTGCTTAAACCTGATATACCATACCATTGTCAATCCTTATAAACCCCGTGATATTGTTCCGTTATACTCTACTATACCCTGGGTTCATTCAAAAGGTTTTCACAAATATCTGCTCTTAATCGTAGGTTGATTCTTCGAACCAATCAAAAATCAGTTTACATACCAGTCTTAGCGTCATTGTTTATGTTCACTACAATTATCTCAGTTACAATACAATGCGATTTACTTCCCTATCAAGGGCAGATAATTTTACTGTGTCTCTCCCATGAATGGACCCAGGGTATTGTGCAGCAGAATGGAACAATACAACTGGGGGTACCGAGAATGACCCTTGTCATATACGAGTTTCAACACAATAACACATTTGTTGGATATGGGATGAAATGATCAGATGTGTATTATGCCAAAGTTGTTGGTTAGCAAAGAAAATGTTGTTGAAAGAATTTGTGTTCTGTTCATACAAAATAAAATCGCCAGGTGGGTGCTTATATGTTAATGCATATGTGTATTAATCTAGAGGGGTTAAAGGAGGAGGAACCCACAAATGTATCCAGAGATACATTGAGGATAAATAGTAATCAGGAATCAGTAATTTTATGGACAATATTCACAGATAAATCTGGGCAACAATGTTACTGCTCTCCAATTTATGTATTTATGTGTGGTCCCAGTTGCCTTCGGATTATTGCATTGATAATCACAAACTATCACATACAATGTCTTTTAATAATTTCATCTCCTGCTAATTGATAATCTAAAACGAAATCTTTTAAACATTTGCTATTCAACTTCTTAAGCGTTGAACATCATTTTAAAAGTTAGTGAATTTATTATCAGGTTTACGCACATACTAACAGACATTAAGCACTGATTCTGCCAATAACTTCCAATATTAAAACAATATCTAAGCATAAATATATCAACTCTTGTATATTATATATAATAATACATCTATTCAAAAGGTTTTTTTGTGAAATATGAAACAGCAGTAGATTTAGCTGTATGGATACTACTATAAGATAAAAGATTAATGCAACCAGAGGCCTGTTTCACAAAATTTTATCTAAGATAAAATCCAAATTTTGGTAATTTGATTGGATAATATTAGATTGATTTTAGTGCTTAGCTAATCAAAATTGAAGTATCTACTAAAATTTGGTTTTTATCTTTAGTTAAAATTTCGTGAAACAGGGCCCAGAAGGAGTTTGGCATATGCCAAGATTCAAGTCAAGTGCTTATAATGCTCGACTTCATCCTCTTTACGATGCCATTTACCAATTAACATTGATTAGCCTCCCATCTGATTAATCACTGTTGATTTTACTAATGGGTGAAGTATTTGACAATACCACTGATTTATGGGACAACTATGCCATGCTTTTTTTTGGGGGGGGGGGGGTTGAGAACAGAAATGCTTATTGAAAATAATATGACTGGGATATGTAGCAAATAAACTTTAATTTCTTGCTTGCATTAATTTATTGTTATACATTATGCCACAGATGTAATATTTTGGCTGGTACAGTGTGCCATACAACTTAATCTAAAGCGGAAAGATGTTTCACAAAAAGTCCCCAAACTATACAAAACATGTAGATGATTAAACAACTAATTTCAAAGATATATCCATATACCAAAGAGTGATAACTTTACAAATTATTGAAGAATAAGTAAGAACTGAAATTGAAATTTCATATGTTTATGGACAATAAACTTCTGTTGTTTGCAAGTTTAAATCTTATAAACAGCAACATTTCAGAGAATAAATATACAATTAAGTTATATATAGATATTTGGTTAAATACTAATCATAGATTTCATTAACTTCATTACACATTTTTAGTCCACTATGGCATAAATAGGCCTTGTCACAACACCAAGTAATCACTTACATTCATGAAGGAAATTCACACAAGCAGTTTATCATTTGTGCAAATATATTTTATCTAACATTTATATATGAAATTATGAAAATGTTCACACAATATATTTTCGGCGAGTCATAAATTGATCAACAATACGGCATGCTATGTAGAGCCATATACAGGGAGTCTGGTCAACTGTTGTAACAACATTGCTATGTAATTAGTAATTCTTTCAGTTCCATCATTTAAACCACTTTTATGTTATGCAGAACTATAATTCTCTTCACAGACTCATTATTTTATTTTTATTTTATTCTAATTTTGGGGTAGCAATGGTGTCTCAGTAAGATGCTAGCTCACTAACAAGCAGGTTTCTTTCAGATGGGCCAAACTCCTGTGCACACTGGTGTGCATGTTAAAGTTGGAATCCGAAATAAGAGAAGGCCGTAGTTCGGCTGTCCGGGCAAAATTTCTTACATATGATCATCTTTATTAGCACAGTCGGTGCATCAAAGTATGACAATAAATCACATTTTGTTTCAAAATGATCATTTGCCAGACTCTCTCTATATATGGTCACTGGAGCAATCTAATCTGTAATATGCCATTTACATTTTCTCCTAGTCCATTATTTTTTATATTTTCTATATGTGGCAATTGCCATCATTGAATAATAAATAATTCTATTTAGACATCTCAAATTAACAAATTCAACAAAAGATGAAAATTGTATAAAATTAAAATAAATGCATTGCTAACATTTAATGGGTTGTTATAAAACGTTCATGTTGTAAGATTTAAATAATGCTGTGATTTTATGATTTCAATAAAAGTTATATAGAGTACATATTATAATCAAACACAATAATTGTACTAATATTGCTATATATTGTGCCATTACGATTTTGCTGAGCATAAATAATGCAAAGAATAGGAAAGGGAATGCAGATTGTTAACATTTGGCTAACACAACACTAAAATAATATTCAGAACAAAGATTAACTGGATTTACGTTTTCTGTGTACCGGTATTCACTATCAGCGTGCCTTGTCATTTTAATAAAACTATACAATAATAGTAGATGTAATAGAATCTTATCGATTTAGGGACTTGTCAAAAATCAAACTGTCATTCAAAATTACATGACAATTCTATTGAATACATTAATGTTTTATTAATGGTACTGAGAAACTAGGATTCTAAAAGTCTTTGTCAATCAAATCATGTCCTGTGTATCTATCCAATTCATTTACTAAATGCCATTGACAGAATTTAAAAGTGGTTATTTTTGTGTAAATTCAGATTTGCAGCCAAGTCTCCTTGGTCTCCCATCTTTTCTGGAGATTTAACTGAAAATGTGTAACATGTCCCCAGTATACCAACAGTACACTCAAGAGCAAACAGGTGGTTGAATACATTATTCTATAACAACTTTTCACTATGTAAAAATTCTGAACTAGAAAACATGGTAAGATATTCTCTATAAGTTTCTACAAACCTTCCAAACTAACGATATTAAACAAAATTCGGGCCTAAAAAACGGCCAAATTTTGTAGGAACTCTCCTAGATGCAAACTTCAAGAATTTTTTGGGGAGAACTGAGCAAAAACATTATTTCTTTTAATGAAATAACTGGAGTAGATAATTTTAATTTTTAGCAGAGGGCAGTTGGCCTAGGAAAATCTTCCAAATATTTGGTGGGCTTTTTAAGAATCTAGTCTGCAAGAATCTTCAAGTAAATCAGATTATGAGATTCTGAGGAATATGGCTGTCTGATATAGGTCATTCTGGATCTGAAGATCTGACACGATCAATCTATTGGTACGAACTTTAGCAATCGAAACACTAAAATATTCAGCTTTAACTACAAAACAACTTTAATAAAACAAAACAGAAAGTTCTTATACTATTCAATCAATCAAAAAAACAACAAAACAATACTAAAACAAAGATAATATTATACACTCATTTAAAAAATAAGCAAACAAAAAAACAGAAAAAAATACAATACCATACATTAAGTTGTTAATTGAATGTATATTGTTTATATCAGAATTTATTGCAATGAGATCTGTGCAATTTAAAGATGGATTCCATTGAAAGACTGTGTCATACTAGTAACCAGTGATTGGAGATTATAGTAACCATTTATAAATGACACCTGATTGAAGTTTTAGAATGTGCGATTTGCATAACCAAAAATGTACCTTCAATACAGGAGATAACTTGTTTTAAATGCCTATTGTGCTTATTTGATTAATCTGAAGTAGAATATCTATCATATAAACCAATAATCCAATATCCATCGCATGACATTTGTCATATAAACAAACAACCAATTCCATTTTGAATACTCTAAATCCACAGGTCATGTCCTATCAAGCTATTCGTTTTGGCATGGCGCATATTACTAATTAATTGAAGTGCAGGTTAACAAATGCTGTTATCTCTTGTCTTACAAAAACCCATTTTTGAGAATGTAATTAAAAATAATATCAATAAATTGTAGTAATGTATGTAAAATGTTGTGTACGATTGTCCAATATAAATGCTGGTATTAGATTAGCACCTAAGTCTTATAATAAAAAAAGGGCAGAATTATGCTACAAATTGTGGGCATGATGATAAGATCAAATAAATAATAATATAGGATTTCAATTTTTACAAACTTCATATAGATCAGAAAATTGATGCAGTAAAGATCATATTTTCATTTTTCCGTATTTGCAAATGTGAGTGATATCTATCTAAGATTCTCATTTTATGAATGTCACCTTTTCAAGGATCATTTTGATAATATATTTATGTCATTCAAAGCTTTTGAACAATTTTTAAGGAATTGAAAAACATTGTTTCCTCTTAGCATGTTTAAGGAACATCTTTACTTAAAATATAATTAATATAGAGATCAATAAAAAGTCTGACACCTCTTCCTAGAAAAACCCTGAAGCTACTGTCATGTTTTTATTTTTTACTTCAAAATACATATCATACAGAAAATTTAATGGTAGAATTTCCACAATGTTTGTCCAAAGACTAAGAGAGAGAAAGAGAGAAATGGGGTTTAACGTCCACTCGACACAAACTAGGTCATTTTGGGACTAACATATGGTTTAATTTTATTTCAATAATTCGCTTGCGCATAGGGGTCTTTAGCAGTGGGAGGAAACCGGAGGACCCAGAGAAAACCCACAAGGTTGGACAGGTGACCCTACTCCTTGTCACGTACAACCAGGGATTCGAAACCACGCCAGTTGACTCAATGACAGGCTTTATGATACAGCATGCACGTGCTAACCATTCAGCCATCCAACCCCCCTCAAAGACTAAGAATCCAAAGACTAAGAATCTAAGGAGTATTCATTAAAAGGTGTGACATAGTCCCTACAACACAAGCCTGTTGATATGATGTATCTAAAGATAAAGTTGCTGATCACCATGTCAGGCATTTTGAATCCTTTGCAAACTACATTATTGTGAAATTTAAATCTTTGGCCATTATCTACAAACGATATAAACAATGCCACATTTAAAGTAACGATGCATGATTTGCATTTTTCGAAAAATATCTCATGACGGTTTCTTTTTTGTTCAAAACTGGAAGTGTTTTCTAAAGATTGTTGTAGGAAGAGGGTCTGAGGACTGACTTAGATAGTACAATGGCTGTGTTTGTATTTATGTTGAATAGATAGTTGAGGTTATTGTATGATCTCTATTCCTCTTGTTACTTTTCTATTTACAAGTTCTCTATTTACAAATAACACCTGAAAAACACAAAACAATACATTTATTATATAATAATAGTAGGATAACTGGCTTTGAGCAATAATTAGTCTGTAGTAAATTATACAGCCGGACAGATGTTTTCTTCAAGCGATCACCAATCAGGATCCTGGCGACAATTAATCCTTTCTGACACTGCGACACAGTTCAAGCCAACGATGTCAACACTTGAAGGTATTATTACAGAAATTATTACAATGAGAGCACTTTTGTCATTATTATAGAAATAAAATGATATGGGGTTTAACGTCCTACTTTTCTGCTCCAACTGGGTTAATGAAGACAGGCCTCCGCCATACAGTGTACTATGAGGAAAATTCTGCTTGGACAGCAACACCATGACCTACTCTAATTTTGAATTCCAACCTACCATATTTCTGAATGTTTTTGAATGTGCACATTTGTAGAGGGGATCTCGGTTTTTCGTCCCATCCGAACGACCAGATACTGTCCTGCACCATTGACAGGGGAAAACGTGCCGAAAAATCTTGATGAACTTTATTGTCCAACACTGGGAGTGAACACGAGACCTCTTGGTTATCGAGCCAATGTCTTACTCACTGAATCACTGTGGCTATCTGTTATTATTTGAGTAATAATTATTTACCCTGTCTCCACTGATCTGATAAATATGTATGTATGGTATTCCATCTTCTGCTCTATTTATCACCTGAGCCTGTAATAATTTCCCTTGAGTTAATTCTTCCAACACAGACCCAGCTTTATCACTGAAAAAATCCTCACCTAAAAATAAAAATAATACCATAATTCTAAAACTTTCTTTGACAGTAAGTAAGCAAAGCAGACGAAAGACTGATTTTATTAAAATAACAAAATAAATATGTGCCCCCATCTTACATTCAGTTTTATTGACCTTTCTTCATCATGATCATTTACTGACAATTCAGTATTTTTGATTTGATCAAAAGAAATGAAATGGGGTTTAACAGCCTACTTTTCTGCATCAACTGGGCTAATGAAGATGGACACCATGCAGTGTCCTATGAAGGAAATTTTGCCCCAATAGAGGCACAACGGCCTACTCTTATATTGAATTTCCACCATGTCAAGCCCTCCATCCTGCACCACTGACAATTCTGAGGAACTGTCTCTGCCAGCAACGGAACCACTGTGACACTGGGACTTTTATAATGCATTGATAAGTATGTCTGAAATGAACCTGAATGTACTGTGAACTGGCTTATAATAACCTTACCTTGAAGAGGAGTAATATTAGCAACATAGCATTCTACAGCTTGGAAAGGTAACGTCATAAAGTCACTTCTGTTAAATTAGAGGAAAAAAAAACACAAATAATTTCTTAAAATAAAACAAAAGCATCGCATTTACAGCCAATCAATATATCCCCTCCAGCAGATTCAAGTTTCCAAGGTCAGCGCCAATAACTCTCAATATCCATGCACAATTCAGAGTTTTGGACTAGCTGAACAGTCCTAACTAGCTGTCACCTCCTGATTAAATTTAAATGACTAATTAAATGATTTCACTGATGAGTAATGTTATAAATGTACATGGGTAAACGTATATATATTTTGTTCTTTCGAACCAACTCTAGATTATGCTTGAAAATGACAAAAGAATTTGTGAAAACATAGCTCTGAATAAAATATATAATAACTTCCCACTGAACTGTTGTGATTATCTTAATATATACACCTATACAGAGATGCGATTTCGCCCGTATATTCCGGACATGTCCGATTTTATTTTTCAAACGTCCTAAATTGTCTGACCAGGAATATGCCCAATCGGACATCAAGACATGGTGAATAATATTCAAAATTCCAAAATTAATATAGTGTACTGAGTGTATAACTACCACTCAAAAGGTGATTTTGAACAAAAGTATGGGTCAACAGTAGTCGGCACGCTTTCATTCTATCGTATTACAACACATAATTTTGTAGGAATATTACTGACATAAATTTGAAAACAGTATGCGAATTAAATATGAAAAATAACGAGGCCCACCTATTTTTTTTTATTACGTATGAATTTGAATATTTTGTTGACACATGATTTTTAATTGTGGTCTGAAACCGCCTGCTTAAATAATAATAGTTATGCCCTTTTTTTTCGGTAAAAATGACAGACAAGAAAAATTTTGAAATCCCATCACTGCACCCATATGAATTTTTTTTCATAAAAATGAATCTGTAAAGTACTTGCCTGATTTGTTTAAGGAGAGGCATAGAAAGACGTTCATAACCCCCATAATCAACAAACTTTATATCACATTCATTTGTATCTTCATAAACCTGTACTATCTGTGCTCTATACCAACCATCCATCATAGGTGCTACACAAATAACACCCACTACAAATATAAACAACAATATATATCATACATACATTTATCATATCTAATATATTTAAACTTATTGAGGAGGTAAAAATCTTTATAATTACTTTCTAGAAAGAGAAATGAAATGAAATGGGGTTTAACGTCCTACTGTTCTGCACCGTCTGGGCTAATGAAGACAGATATGCGCCATGCAGTGTGCTATATGGGTCATTTGCTCGGACAGCGATGCTACAGCCTGCACTTATATCGAATTCCAACTGTCAAGGGTCCTTTAACGTGCATGCCAATGTGTACACAGGACCTCAGTTTTCCCTTGCCAGACTGTCCGTCCTACACTATTGATAAGGGGGAACCACACCGGAAAATCCTGACAAACTTTCTTGGCCAACACAGGACAACTGGGTTAGCAAATTAACTTCTTACTCACTGAGCCAACGCAACTCCCTTCTAGGTAGAGATGGCATTTGATATAAAAGATATATTTACCTTCTATGGGTCGTGGAAGAGGTGGAACCATCTTGTTCTGGCTATAACATACAGCCATACACTGGTCTAGTCTCTCTAGGGAGGGAAATGAAGGATGAGTTGGTTGTTGAACAAAAACATGACCAGCATCAACAATACTAGACACAACCACATCAACAGATACACCTTCTGGTAAACTTAACTATAATTAAATATCAATGTTATAATTCATTTCTTACAGGCACAGTATTCCACATAGCAAATTTCAGTTTATTAACAATAAATATTAGTCTTAAATAACATATTGGTTCAATCAACCAATCAGTCCTAATGTAAGTTTATGGCCATATAAAGTTCCCATAACTATTCATCATTCTTTACTATGCTTACCCTTTTCGAAACATACGCAAAAACAACTTTGCTATTGAAACTGCAGTTACTTTTTGTATTCATGAAGTTTTAATGTCCTTTAGGATTGATAGTATTTATCTTAATGAGGCATTTTCATCCAAGATGTTATTTGTTAAAATTGGTATTTTACAAGGTGCTTAACTTCACAAACACTCACAACATGATTGATTTATTATTTAGAGCAGTCTGTAAATAGAAGATTCCCTGATTTTACCCATTATCTCACCTGCATGATATTTGGCATAAGAACATGTGGAGCTGGTTTGGGTGGTGCTGGTTGGTTGATAGGACTCATGTCAAGCTGAGAGAATTGAGAACGGGGAAATTTCTGACGTATTAAAGACAATGCTTTCTCAACTTCCGTCTGTGTACCTAGCAATACATAAAACAAGAATTAAATATAGTCTCCATCAATAGATTCATCCTACAATTGTTAAATATAGTCTCCATCAATAGATTCATCATACAATTGTTAAATATTTCTTAAAATCGTAAATACTAATTCTGCACTGTCAATTTCAACTAAGCCCTATAGAATTATTCACGTAATGACAAAATTAAATGACGCTGAAAAAAATCTTAAAACCTTAAAATATTGAAATTTCATTCTGAAAATTCCTGCTACCGAAACAACATACCCAACTTTCTCAAAAGCAATTTTTTTTTTCTCTCACAAATACATACTATTATAATGATTAATATTTTAAGAAAGATTATAGAGCTGAATAGACTACACATAAGACGCTCAGATTTAGGAATTAGGAAGTTCTTTTGACTTTGTCTCAGTTTTGACTACACTTATCAGGATTATATTTTGATCACTATTTAATGGTTAATGCAGAGTTGTAGACCTTCACCTGTAGCTGAACTACCAGATTTATGTTTTATTATGAGGAGATCACTTTTTCATTTCTAGTCATTTTACTCATGGTAGGGCCCTTAGTTTAGTCAAGTGTCTTATTTGAGTGACAACATTTGGCCAACAGTAGTGTCATCCCTAGTGTTATCTCAACTGGATTATGCAAATGGACTGCTAGCAGGAGCTTCAAAATATTCTTTAAACAGCTCTCTAAGTTCCTCAAATAACAAAACTTGTTTAGTTATTCAATCTAAAAACATTCGGATCACATCTCCAATAAACTTGTGCAACTCCAATGGTTGCCTGTTGAAGCCAGAATTTACTATAAAATTCTGACAACCAGATAAGACTAATATTCGGTTCCCAAATATAACAAATTGTATGGAAAATACTCTTTACCAGTTCATGGTGCATATTTAAGGAATGAGCTTTCTCCACAGATATGCATGCCACCTCTATTTTCAAGTCAACACTAAAGACACGTCTGTTTACCAAATATTTGTGCTTGAGCAATAGTTAAACTCATTGTGAAGGGCTTAGAAATGACCAGCAGACCAAAATAACCCCTGTTAAACTCACCTTCTACAATACAGATCTGAAATTCTGGAGTAAATGGATTATTCTGTAATGATACACTTGCGGCGGCTTGTTCTTTAATAGCATTGATATTCTTTCCTTGACGACCAATCAAACGACCGCATAATTCAGACGGAAAATTAAACTCATAACGAACTATTTCTGGTGAACACATCGATGACAAATTCTCTGTCACACTCCCACCTCGTCCACTGTCATTTGAAGCCTGGAAAAGGAACAATAAACACAAACATTTCAGATAACAGACAATTCTCATTCATTTTGATGCTGCTGTTGCCAGATGTAAGTGATCTATTAACATACATGTACCCCATTGATACCGACAATTTTTTCTGGTATTGTTTCGTTTGAAGCATACATCCACAAAAAAACAATATTCTGATTGATTTGAATACATGATATCCAGTAGTTTAAGAAATAAAAGGTGGAATTAGACTGATAAAACAGACAGTCGATGTTAAATAGGTTGCCAGACAATCGACTAAATGTCCACAACAGTTAAGTTGTTTGAGCAGTCCATAAAACCTAGCGCATTTACAAGACACCAAATATAACTTGCCTGACAATGAAACATACACATAAAGGGTGTCACATTGTTCATCATTTAGTAAAAGATAGGTTGCCAGTCAAAACCAGCGGCTGCCAGGCAGGATACGCCCACATTTTCGAGAGATGGATAGAGAACAAGCTAACAAGAAAGTGTTTTTTTCTACAATCAAGGGCCATAATTCAGGAAATTACAATTCGATATGCGCGAATATCGAGAGGAACTGAGATCTTTGTGTTATGAACTTATATTTCAAGTTTCAACAAAATCGGATAAAAATTGTGACCTCTATAGGGTCCACAACCTTGATATACCATATTTTTATGCTATTTGAGAATGAACGGCGGCCATTTTGTCTGTCAATTTTGGGCCGATTTTCACGAAATACAAACTCAGTCGTCCTAATGGTGTAACGGTGATATAATACGTTTTTTTAAATCGGATAAAAATTATGACCTCTATAGGGTCCACAAGCTAAAAACACGATTTTTAGTACAATCAGGGGCCATAATTCAGGAAGTTATGGTCCAATATGCACTAATTGATACATCAATTCAACGATATATGGTGTGAACACTAGAAACAAAATTCAAAAATACATGGGCTTATTCGTTTTACTAATTTAAGCAATGCATGGAAATTGAAATCAGATCGGATGACAACTTTAATCTTTAGAGTGTTCACAAAGTGAAACATGGACCATAACACTAGAAGTAATTAACGGAAGATCATTCTGAGCTATTCCACACACAAGCAAGTTTTGTCATGACCAGCGAGTATCCATTTTCTATTACCACTAAATGTGTGATGTGCTGAGTGTCTTCTTTAAATGTTACATGGGGATTGTATCCCCTGAAAATTGCTGGAAATTGCTGAGAGATGAAGGTAATTTCTTCAAAATAAGATATATAAATACATATATTACCGAATGCATAATAAAGGTAGGTATTAGTATAAACTTTATTACCGGTACTAAACTGACTCGTTTACATAATATACATGTATATATATTACATTTACATGTAATATTCAACCGCGAGTGTCAGTGACAAACAAGTTTACCAATATACCGGAAAATTTGAAGTTGAAAGAAATATCTGTATGCTAACAATGCATTTAAATGTGTTATTGTTCAAATAAAAAAAAGATAGGTTGCCAGGCAAAGAAACATACGCCCACAGCAGCTAAATCGTCCGGGCAGTCAAGAGTTGTCGCATATTTTTACTTTTTTCTGTAATGAAGCATTCACAATACATTAAAATCTGTTTAAGAGTAACAACTCATTAAGTAATTATCAGAAAACCATCAAGTCATAAAATTCATTGAAAATCAATATACTTGTTCGTCTCAAGACCTTAAACTCTGTGTATCAATCTGAAGTCAATCGGATGATAGCTTTAGCCTCATAGTCGGATTCGGTTTGTTACGTAATTCCCATCCGTCGGCTTTTCGGGTAGAAATCATGGAATAAGCTTTATTTTGTAGGTTTTGATGTTTGATTACAAAAAACCAATGTTGACATTTTTTCATAGTATGGGATGCCATTATTTGAGGGTAGCCATTTTGCGATAATATTGCAACTTATTTTATTATTTTCACCTTATTTATAATGTTATTGACATATCAACTGTGATTTGGCAATGTATTAATATTGTCAGGGTTCATGACTATACTTCAGATTGTTTTCCATCATTTCAGTATGATATTTCCAAGATTGCGACCATTTTTAGCGGGAAAATCGGACGATGTGCTGATTTCGATTAAGTAGTAGTGCTTGGTGTCAAAATATATGTTTTCGGGGCCACAGATTCCATTCCTGACATTTACAACCTTGTAAAATGATCACATGTTCATATACTTAGCATATTTCCAAGATGGCGGTCATTTTTTTGGAGGGAAAATAGGACGATGTGCTGATATTGATTAAGTAGTCGTCATTGGTGTCAATATATATGTTTTCAAGGGCACAGAATCCATTTCGGTCAGTAACAACTGTGTAAAATGATTATTTTACACAATTACAATATGACGGCCATTTTTGGCGGGAAGATGGAACGATGTGCGGATATTGAATAAGTAGTCATCTATGGTACCAGGATATATTTTTGGGGGAGCAGATTCCATTTTTGCCGTTTACAACTGTGTAAAATTATCACATGTTCACATATTTAGCATATTTCCAATATGGCTTTCATGTCAGGCGGGAAAATGGGACGATGTGCTGATTTTGATTACGTAGTCGCGTTTTAGTGTCAATATTTGTTTTTCGGGGGTGCAGATTCGATTTCTGTGATTTACAACTGCGTGAAATGGTGGTATGTTCACACATTCAGCATATTTTTGTTTGTGGCAGGACGTTTTCTAAACACATTACTGAAAAGGTTTCTGAATCCAATTCTGCTATGTATAAGCTTGTAGCATGTTCCTGGAAGCCTGTGTCGAGTTTACCCATTAGGTATAATATCCAACAATGTAGTAGTTGAAATCCAGCGCAATATCATTCAACATGTTTGTTCTACATTCATCTTGGAAGTCAGTTGATAACATAATCTATGCTATAAGGGCTTCGCTTCTTAGCAAGTATTTCATTTACAGCCACGTCCCCACCACTATCATTCACATTGCAGCCAGGCTGGAACGAAGCTCCTGGCCATATGCTTGCTACGCTGTTACGACCTTTATGTATATATAGGTAAGATACTGAGCCTCGCCCATCAGCTCCAGTCTAGCAATCAAAGAGGAAACCTCAAGAAAACTATGAAATGTTCTTGATTGCTTGACTATTGGTTGTTTTCTGCTTTGAAAGTGAATGAGGACGGGTGAGCATGGCCCAGTCTCCATAGGCGTGACGAGAGAACGCCTTATGCCTGGTAGGCATGTCACTGGAATGTGGTGAGAAAGTATCCCGGTCTGACTGGTAACCGTGAGATCATGGTGGGAACACTGTTCGCGCAGCCAGATCTTGGCAATGAGCGTAGAAAGATCTTGTAGTAAGCGCTTGGTGTGGTCGTTGCAGGCGCATGATGGGCACGTGACGTAAGCACCACGCTGCCGCTATGCTCTTTTTGCCTTCATGCCAGGAATAGGTTTTACTTTCCCAGGAAAATCGATGATAAATAAATGCTAATAATGTGTTTAGAAAACGTTCCACCATCTTGGAAATATGCTAAATTGGTGAACATACGACCATTTTACGTAGTTGTATATGACAGAAATCGAATCTATATATATTGTCACCAAAGACAACTACTTAATCGAAATCAACCCATCGTCCGATTTTCCCGCCACAAGTGGCAGCAATATTGGAAATATACTAAATATGTAAACATGTGAACATTTTACAATGTTGTAAATGTCAGAAATTGATTCTGCACCCCCGTAAACATAAATATTGGCACCAAACACTACCACTTAATCAAAATCTGAACATCCTCTCATTTACCCGCCAAAAATGCCCGCTATCTTGGTAATATGTTAAATATATGAAATTGTGATCATTTTACAAAGTTGTAAATGTCAGGAATGGAAAACATATATATTGACACCAAACACTACTACTTAATCGAAATCGGCACATCGACCGATTTTCCCGCTAAAAATGGGCGCCATCTTGGAAATATCATCATGAAATGATGGAAAACAATCTGAGATATAGTCATGAATGCCGCCAATATTAATACATTGCCAAATCACAGTTGATATGTCGATAACATTATAAATAAGGTGAAAATTATAAATAATTTGGAATATTATCGCAAAATGGCTACCCTCAAATAATGGCCTCCCATACTGTGAAGACCTACTCAAAAAAAATGTCAACATTGGTTTTTTGTAATCAAACATCAAAACCTACAAAATAAAGCTTATTCCACGATTTCTACCCAAAAAGCCGACGGATTTACATTAACGATCGGACTGTCAAGAGTGTCACAAGATTTTTCAAAGTGATCAAGGGCCATAACTCTGGCAGTAATTATCGGAAATCCTCAAACTGTGTTTTCTAAACGTTCGTTTCGTTCACAGTTTATCTAATGGTGTTATTAATAAAATAGTATTCGCAGCTTCGCACTCACCATCAATCGCTATTGACAATTTTTCTCGATCGCTTATAACATTAAATAAATTTCTATTAAAATTGAGTTATTTTTTCTGAACAATTAATTAATTAGTCATTGTCATTGTTGTATGCGGCTGCGAAAATTACCGGCGCGGTGGTTGTACCTTTTTGTGTGTGTGTTTTTAGTTTTAATGTGATTTGAATGATATGACGGTGATTATTTGACACCAATAATTTCATTTTATTGAAGCTCATTTATTTTTTATACGAGTATCAATATCAAGAACTGAATATCAATATTAATATTTTCCCGGAGTTGCCGACGATTATTGGCTATATCAATATTTTCGTGAGCCCTAGATATCAGCATTATAAACAACTTTAGATTATTCAATGTAACAGATGGTAATTACACATATTGATTACTGATACAATTTCATGCATCCACAACAACCATTGATGCAATGATAAATTTGTCGGTGATCAAAACATGTGGTGTGAATGATAACTCATCTCAAATTCAAATCTCTGATATAAATTCTGTTAAAGCCGCGGTTAATTAATTGTTTGGTTTTCATGATTTGTGTTTGTGAAATATACATGCTACATGAGGCAATTCTTAATTATTGCGATGGAATTTAAAATTTTTGAGTTTATTGCGGTTTCTACATGTATTTCAGCATTTACTAATGTCAGTTACATGTACTTGGTCATTGAAAACCCAATGGTAACCGCCGCCCACGGTTTATTCACATTTAATAAGTTTTATAGATTAAAATATCTGGTGCACAATAGCCAGGCATAATAATGATAGGTCTAAATTATTAGTGATATGCTTCTAAGTTAACCGTTCGTTACAGTGTAATTCATTCATTCTAGGCATTTCATTCCTTCATGATCTTTCCCTGCTTTGACAGGTTACGAAATGACTTGTTCCAATCAGGTTGATGATTTGTTCTGACATAAATATTTAAAAGCATACCTTTGGAATTTTTTTCAGTCCAAAGAATTTATTACACACGTGTTCGTTTCTCTAACATTGAAGAAGACAGTACCAATAACCTGTATGTTAATTGTCTTCAACTTTGACCCCATCAGCACATGGCATCGTGAAAATATAAATACTTTTAATTTTGCCTATCTTCATCAAAGTATTCACATTTATAAGTATCTTTGTGTCCTTTTCATAATGTTGTGGTTAATAAAATATCGTGAAGTAGTGTCAATCAGTCGGTACCTCATGATCGAGGCTATCTCACGGTGGCAGTTTTGGAACTACACGTTCGTCACAGAGTGCTAGTCACATACCGGTAAATAAAATATTTTAGCAGGAATTTAAAGACATTTGTATCTTTCCGTGAATTTTATTACAAATGACAAGTGTCTTATGAAGTATGTATGTCATCTTTGGTGAAAGAAAATGCTCAGCAACAATTCCTTGGTTTGAATGACAGATGTGATACATTTTTTTTAACTTCCTGTTTCACGTACATGTACATTAGCATACCAGACTTCACTTATCACCAACGACCTACAGTGTTATTTTTATCGATAAACAGTCAAATTTAATGCGTCAATTCATGGTTCATATTTGAAGGCAAACAAATATAGTTTTACAAATTTTTGTGAACTCACAAAATTTGACCAAATAATTATGGAAGTGCGTAATTATTACTGCCAAGTAAATTTTGGGATGTCATTTTTTTACCCTCCATATATAAGTCGAAACGGAGTATAAGACGAATGCCGGACTTCTGCTGAAAATTGTATCGATTTATGACCCGTAAAGAAAAATACGGTAACTTTGGAGGAATTTGAAACAGTATGGATCGGCAGTAGTCGGCACGCTTTCATTATATCGTATTACGACATCACATAATTTTGAAGGAATATTACTGACATAAATTTGAATACCGTACGGTAATTAAATATGAACAAGCCAACAGTGAGGCTGATATCCCCCGCCGAAATCCCAAAATAAATAGATGACACACATTAATTAATGGCACATTTATTTTTTTTTTCAAAAGTATCAAGCAATCAAACTATACACTAAGTTTCATCACTCTCTATAAGATAGAATCAAGATTATCTTGTCCCAAAGCATTGACCAATGAAATTGATTAGCTCTGCATTGCTTCAGCTCGAAATGTTAATCATTGAACTCAGTCAAGACATTCACCTAATGAACATCTACATCAAGTCTAAACATTCTACCTCAATTAAAAGCAGAGTTGTTATCTTCCAAAGCCTTGACCAATCAAATTGCTTATTGATCCTTAGCCTAAGCAGAAAATTCTCACCATCGAAATTAGTCATGGTAATGATATATTGAATCTATATTTGGAGTTCCATCGCTCTCACTTTATTATAACCAATGTTATCGTGCCTTAAAGCATCAATCAATCGGATTGCTTATTTCTGCTTAGCGTAAGCAGACAATCTTCATCATAGAACTCCACCAAGGCATTCACCTATTGAACACCTACACCAAGTTTAACCATTCTACCTCAATTAGAAGGAGAGTTATTGTGTTCCAAAGCCTCAACCAATCAAATTGCTTATCGCTCTGCTTACCCTCAGCAGAAACTATTCATAATCGAACTTAGTCAAGGTATTGATGTAATAAAGCTATACTCCAAGTGTCCTCACTCTCACTTTACTTGAAGTTATTGTGTCTCATGCATATCCACCAATCAAATTGCTTATCTCTGCTTACCCTAAGCCGAAAATTCTTATCTTCGAACTCCATCAAGGCATTCACCTAATAGACACCCATGCCAAGTGTGAACATTCTACCTCAATTAGAATGAAGAGTTATTGTGTTCCAAAGTCTCGACCAATCACATTGCTTATCGTTCGGCTTACCCTGAGCAGAAAATGCTCATTATCAAACTTAGTCAAGGTATTGATGTAATGAAACTATACATCAAGTTTCACCACTCTCACTTAATTAGAACTAAAGTTATCGTGTCCCAAAGCATCAACCAATCAAATTACTTATCTCAACCAATCAAATTGCTTATCTCTGCTTACCCTAAGCCGAAAATGCTCATCTTCGAACTCCATCAAGGCATTGACCTAATCAACACCGACACCACGTTTGAACATTGTAGCTTAATTAGAAAGAGAGTTATTGTGTCCCAAAGAGTGTGACGGACACACAGGCTGACGGACGGACAGACAGATAGACTGACGAACCCATTTTAATAGTCCCCTGCTTTCTTCGAAAGGCAGCGGACAAAAATAACAAGGTGCACCTATTTTTTTATTTCCGTACGAATTTGAATATTTTGTTGACACGTGATTTTTGTGTGTGGTCTAAAAACTGCCTGCTTAAATAACGATAAGAGTTACATGTATGTCCCTTTATTTTCGGTAAAAATGGCTGACAAGAAATTTTTTAAAATCCCATCACTGGGCTGCACTTTTAACGTCAAAGTAAACAATCCAAAATATTTTGAACTGTTACATACATACACTTGTGTGTGAAACCTTACCCGTGGTACTTTAAATTGAAATTAATCTAGTCTTATTGGTATCTGTAAATAAGGTATCATTTAATCTTGCATTCGATCAATAACAAATCTAGTTTGAAAATTTATAAAGATCGGTTAAAATCACCCAAAATCATCTAATTTGAACCCAGGTCCAGTTAAAGCTGACCGTTAATGTTTGGTAATGAGCGTCCAATTTACAAGTAGGTCTGGCGGAAATAATCGATAATTGCCGATAATCATCAGTAAGTGTTTTGAAAATCGATTATCGATACAGTTTTAAAATATTGATTATCGCGCAATTATAGGTACTTCACTTGCAAGAAGAAGTCCATGCTTGGACCTAGAACTGTATTAGTCATAATAAAATACATGGGTTTTTTTTTCACGCGAGACGCCACCGGTGAGAAATGTTGGCGGGTTATGTCACTGCGAGAAATAAACTGTTACGGCGAACTGAAGAATTCGTTTGATGTGGTCCAAGGGAAATAACTACATTTTACTCATTATTATTTAGGTCATAAGCGACAAAGATATGGCGAGCGGTGGCAGGTTCTGTCTTCCAAATGAAGTTGATCGAGTTTCTTTCTTCACCTTGGTTTTGCTATGGAATGCTATTATTTCATTGTCAAATGTCAAATAAATGAAAAAAAAATTCTACATGTAAACAGAATGACATCACAGCATAAACTCACATATAATTCGTGGACAAATTATGATTGTTTTCAAACCAATTGGAAGTCAAAATAATTTGCCGATATTATCAATTATCGATCGGTGGATGGTCGGCGATAATCGATACTTGAAACAGGATCGATTGCCAGCCCTATTTACAAGTGAATAATTTTGTGACTACTGTACAAAAATAAAGGACCCAACTGATTATTAGATATTATGAAAGATACTTTACCTCACTATTGCTATCACAACCAGGTGAATCGGAATTTGGAGGACTAGTGTCTTGATGTTCATTGCTTTTTGCTGCGTCCTCAACGTCAACAATTGGCACCGATTCATTATTACTGACTTGAGTTTGCGTGGATGACGATTCCTCAACCGTCAATTCCTCATTGACCTCAACTACCTTGACTGCTTTCTCTGACAAACTACTCAATTTGGTAGATTTCTCAGTAGATTCAATGTTTTTATTTTCACTGTCTAGCCTTTGAGACAATGATTCAAGTGGTGAGTCCTTAATCAATTTGATACTGTCTGTGGAAACATTAGCACTTAGTGTAGATGTTTGTTTTTCATGATTAGAAATTTCACTTGATGTTAACTCTGATTTTACTTTGTCCAAAGAGTTACCATTTTTGGTATCAGAACTAGGCTCAACTAACTTTTTTGAAGTTTTTGTAACAGTGTCTGCTACTGTCGATTTATTAGAACTGTCCGTTCTTTGTTCTGTCATTGAATTACAGGGAGATAAGTTACTGCCGGTATGATTTCTACTGGCAGATTTAGAATTATTTGATTTTTCCGAGATAGCATTTTCTTGGCTAACATTAATATTTCTTTCCGGAATAACGCTAGATTTCAGGGAACTTGTACTGACGACATGAGATATCTGCTCTTCGATGACTGGACTGCTTTGTGACATGATTTTGTTCTTTTCAGAAACAGAATGGGTCTGGTCATCCTTTTTCGAAATTTTGCTTGGACTTTCACAAAGCTTTGTTGCTGTTGGTATTACTGGTTGCTTACAATTTATATCTGGAGGTTTGTCAATTTTCTGTTCTGTGGGCAACTGCTTGTTTGAAGATATTTCTTTACTAGAATCTTTCTGTGATGGTGGTTCTTTTATGCTTCTCTTTTTGTCCTTTTTTCTTCCAAACAGCCATAACAATCCCAAGATTCCTGTCACTACCGGAACAGCATACTGAACAATTACTCTGATATTTGCCATAATTAACCACTGATGTCTCTCATTCACTTTATATATATTATCTGAAAAAAGAATAACAGCAACATTACAAATAAATTTTTAAGACACAGAGAGATTAAATGAAATGAAGTTAACATCCTACTACAGAGAGAGAGAGAGAGAGTGAGAGAGAGAGAGAGAGAGAGAAAGAGAGAGAGAGAGAGAGCCTAAATGAAAACAAGAAGGTCTGTTATCTCAAAATAATGAAATGAGGTGTAAAGCTTCCCTGGAAAACATCACTACCACTATCTACTCTTTAATTCAAAATTAGAGATTTCAAGGGTTCTTTTCTGCGAACACATGACCTCAGATTTTTCATCCTCCACAACTGACATGGGTAAATTACGAGGTAAAATCCGGAGGAACTTTCTCAGGGCATCGTTGTTAGTGAGTCAGCACCTTATTACAGTGGACTCTATCACATCCGACATCGTGCGGGATCGTTACAATAATTCGGATCACACAGCGTTTCGTAATACCGAGTTTTCTCCAAAACCGGAAATACTGTAACTTAGAAAACCGGAAGTATTTTTATATTGTAGCTTCGAATCACCAGAATGCTATTCCCTTTATAAATGATAAACTTTTCTGTACTTTCAAAATTTTATTATATTAAATAATTAACAATAACAATGCATGCGTACAATATATTCATAAAATCGTTTACATGTAATATCAATGCATGCGTACAATATATTTATAAATATCAATGCATGTAATCATTTAAAGTAGTTTGCTTAGTTAAGATTACCGGAAGCATATCGTAAGGCGGAGTCCTGGGCAACATCTTCTAACAAATGAATTGTTGCAATCAGGTAGACTGGCAGGTAGATCTTGTCCACTCCCTTAAAACAACTCAGGTTCACTGCTTTACCGATCAAAGTAATCAACACAGTTTTAATCTCACCGATAATTGATTGGTGATTACTTGTTAATCTTTTCTGGCTTCACACCCATTGAGTTTTAATCTCACCGATAATTGGATGCTTCACACCCACCGTTTGAAGTACGGATTATACGGTGTCGATTCAATGGAAATTATGTGACGGGACGGCTGATTGATTTCGGAATCCGGAACATACAGAATTCGGATTTACCAGCGATTTTTTGGCTGAAGTAATAAGGCAATAAATCGGGACATGAAAATCATACCGGATGTCACTGCAATCCGGAGTGATCAGAGATCGGATGTGACAGAGTCCACTGTACTCAATGTGCACCATGACACAATGTCATACAGTACCATAAATAAATAAATTAACTACATAAAATCACATTTAGCTCTAATAGCTGTAGGCATTAATTTCAATACGCATGTCACCATTCTTCAGGTCATATTAATTGCATAATGTTTTACAGTAATGTAACATGAGAGTAATAAGATTAAAGTGAGTCTAAGCTAAGTCAAAGTGGATTATTGTAACTGAGTCAGTATGAGTGATTTAATTAGTAATTTTTGGTAGTTAAGGCCTAAACCAGACACACTAGTGACTAAGGCACCTATATTCTAAATTAACAAAATGTTGGGGTTTTTTGGTATAAGATAACACAGTTGCCTGTCACATGACAACTACAATCAGCTGGTACCATACCTTATCTTCTTGTCTTTATCTAATCAAAAAGCATGCAAAAACTGGTTTGTTTACAAACACTACGGACAACACCAACGCCGAGGTCAATGTCATCGTTGCTTTGGTGCATGCATGCATTTCGTTAATTATTCGCAATTATATGTTAACAAAATGAACTATACGATATTACATTAAATTTGGGGAATTCAGAAGCAGTTCAGATATTCGTTTCTATGCAGTTATTCAATTTTCTGTGTCATTGACATCCTCGGACATGATGCTATGTCATGATTGGTGGAGATAACACCGCCATAGTTTACCAAGAATAAAAAGGTTATTCCACCATGTGGAGCCCTTACCTCTGCCCCAAGAATAGGCGATTTACGTATGCACTTAGAAAAAATGGTGCAGTGAATGAACTGTAAATACTGCAGACATGACAGGCGGTATTTCAACCAAAATATGCAATAATCTCCCTAATAATCTCACCACGTGGTTGAAGGCGCAATATACATGAACCGTAAGCATAAACTCTCGTCACTGTTGCGAGAAACCGCGAGACGCACTATAATGCGTATGAATTTGACACAATTTTCATAAATTAGAATATAATTAAGTTTATTTAATGAATCTTGTAATTTATAAATTGACAGTTCAACTATTGATTGCCTCAACATTGAGCGAACTGTATACAAGAGATGTGATTATTTACGTCTGTCATTATATAGTATAAAATATCGATATTCTTGAGAACTATGTTCTGCTGTGGATGTTTACTCGCTACAAATTGGTCAAAACCTAAACATAATCAGGTGGCCACCGATAAACTTAGTACAAACGAAGAAAAATTACGTACCTATGAAGAAATATTTCTCTTTGTGTTTTGAATCTTTGTGATTATAACGGTTTGATTGTCATTGTTTAGATTCTACGACCTCATTATGAGTTGAAATGAAACAAAATGGCTTCAGCAAAGCTTGAATAATGTAATCATAATTTGGTTGCAATAATAATATGGCTGAGTGTCAAAAATATTGGCCATTCCTGTCAAACCAAAATATAACTTTAATTTTTCCATGATAAATATTCATTCTGAAAGATGGAGATAATAGGAGATTACGAATATAACAAAAAAGATTTAATCGGACATGGTGCCTTTGCAGTTGTCTTCAAAGGAAGATACAGAAAGGTATGTATTTGTTGACAGAACCAAGAAGTTTAGATTTCAGCTCACCAAAACAAAGGTTCTGACAAACTTCAATTTAAGAATGACAGTCCTCGACCTCAGTTTATTCAAAATGATTAATGACACCCAGTCTTTTGTTCTTCCATTTGGTAAACTAGTGGTATCAATTTCAAGTTGGAGAATTTTAAGACAGAGATTAGTGGGACAATCTTATTGGATATGAAGATGGGTATTTAGATCAGATGGATGGTAGATACAGCAATACCATATTCTTCAGTCTTATTGATAAGGAAATGGGGCAATGAATTGTTGGATGACTGTGTTGATGGATTTCATGTACTATATGAAGAATTTCATTGTGAAATCCAATTGACAATCAAACCCCATCTTGAGTTTATGTACATATTGCTTCCTATTATTAGTATTAAAGGAACCTACTGAGTAGTGAGTAGTCTAAATTATTAAAAGTAGCAAAAATAAATGTTTTCATTCTCTTATTTTACAGTAGTAGAAGCCTACATAACTACATAAATTTTAAGTTTAAAAAATATAGCAAATGAAGTACATGTACTAACACTAATATTTTGTGTTGTAGGTTACACTTTCTTTTTTTTTTAGTAAATACAAAAGTTCATAAAGTTCTAACTTTAAAGCTCAATGGCCTTGCTTGATATTGCATCATGCCATTGCTTTGTTGGTGTATAATGCATAAATTCAGTGGGTGGTCCCAGTTTGAAAATCACAATCATGCATTGTCAGTGTGCTGTTCCAAGTAGGTCATGTATCGTATTTTTCTTTTAATCATACCAACGACCGACAACAGTGTCTGTACAGTAGCTGGTCGGATAACCCTGAAGTGAAAGATGCATACAGTCACAACTCTACACACATCTGCCTTATGTGTAGACATAATATTTGAGAATAGCAATTAGAAGTTAATTCAGTGAAAATAAAATCCTATATTCATCATACAACCGGCCAACTGACCCTTCACCCTTATTTATTCTACTCTTATAAAATATAAAATTTGGAATTTTTGATCATTGAATAGGCTTTTATTGGCATTTAATATTTTGAATTTTTTTTATGTTATACATGTTAATTAAAATCTGAGTGCACAATGTAAGCTTACCTGCCAGGTGATTGCAAATTATTTTTAAGATTATTTGTATTGCAGAGATTGAAAATATCCGGCAAGGTTGGCATCATTAACTACCCTCATTTTTTTATAATTAAACTTTGATAAATTTCTGCTATTGTGAATCGTTTTCACGCACAAATTTCTTTGTTGTCATTTGTCAGTGTACTTTGTGAAGACACCCATTTTTAAAAAATTCAACCATAAGTTTAGGCCTAAGCCTAAAAATGATTCTTTTTATTACAAAAAAGATCTTTGACTAATAATTCCTAAAAACATGTATGTCAAGCTTGCTGCCATACATGTTAGATATTACCAAAGTGTAACCATAGGCCGATTTCAAAATACCATAAAAGAGAGAATTCAGAATTTAAGTTTTAAATTGAAGTCAGAATTTGAAATTAATCTCCACTTAATCATGTACATGTACAAAAAAAAACGCAGGTGGAGTTATACTGTTATGAAAATTTTTTGGGTAAATTTTCTTCAGAAATTCAAAAATTGTTCCTAATTTTCCAATTTCTGGAATTTGTGGGCTATGTGCCGTGACAGTTTCTGTTAATTAATTTAATGCATCCAACAGTGTTGGGGAAATACCATAATTAAACTATTATACTACCCTATGACCGGTATTTAATAGTTATGATGTACATCGCAGAACTGAGGTCACAAAAGTGACATATTCCATAACAATAATAAAAGTAATAGTTGTACATGTACAGAAGGCCACGTTGTTCAAACTGATATAGACATTTAGTAAGGCCTATTTTTAGATCATAAACTCTATTTACATACATTGTATCTACAACATGACATGTAACAACAATAGAGTTATATTTTACTCCCCACCTTTAGTTTTAAAATAGATTTATTTAATTTGTCATCTTTTCATGCAAGATCTTATTTAAATTTTCTCATCGTACCTACATGTACAAATATTATTTTTCTGTGACTCACTATTCTAAACTTACGTTTTAATTGAATCACTTAACTTTTTTGAAAGTTATTTTAAATATTTTTATGTGTCTTTTTTGAAAGTAAAAGCTTTTGTTATCATTCTCAATTTTTTAGATGTGGTCAATTTTGTAATTTCCCACTCCAAATTCTTTGCCTCATTGTGCATAAATATTTTCAAATTCACTACCTCTTATATATTCTGTCCGAAATCTTTCTCTCCTTGTGCATTTGCTGTCAATGACTGCCATAAATTGATGTTATTTTCCCCCTTGCATGATCATTTTTTCTCTTTTATTAAATAAAGGATATTTTATTAATGAATATCAAATCATCTGTGTTATTCCACAGAATATGAAACTATCACTCAGTCATGAATATTGTGTATTTATTACAAAAGCGAAGCCATCGTTATCAAATTTGCAAGAGTAATAAGTTTTGAAGGAAGGGTTGAAAAATAAATGATTTCATGTAGACAACAAGGTCCGTGTCAACTGCTGTATGTTTCTTTGTTGGGAGAGATTCTGCTCACTATGCATCACATTCACAGTTTATTACACTCTTGCATGGACTGAATTTTACTGAAAATGAAAAAAGGAGCATGAATATTTATTTAATAATCTTTAAAAAATACTGGTAACTACGTCTGGGGCATGGTTTATTATTTCGATAAGATTGATCTGAAATACTTAACTCTTGAATGCTATTTATTTATCATCCTGTTTGATTTTGAATTAAAGCATAAATTTTGACTTGAGTTTATAATATTTTTACATGGTTGTATTACAACAATATACATGTATCACAAACAACAAGCTCAAAATAAAACATCAGATACATGTATTTTGGAACATACATAGATATAGATGTATTTGGCAATGTTACTCTGATGATAGCTATATGAATAAATCATAGAAATACACATTTTTAAACCTTGGGCTTGTGTATTCCACAGAGTAAAAAATACATTTTTACTCTGTGTGTATTCTAAAGCATGGGTTGAATATTTACTGGGGGTTATCTGGTAATAAGTACTTTTAATGAACAGTACAATAAGTTTTTGTTGTTGGTCATTTATTCTAATTAAGGCCTTGCAAGACTGTGTATTATTATAAGGCATGTGTATTTACTGTGATTTATTGTGGAATACACTTGTACAATGTGGTGGACTATAGTTTTTATTTGTAGGGCTTTGAAACATTGTGTAATATGATTTATATATATGTATATTTACTGTGTTTAAAGTGATTTTCATTGCTTTTGGATTGCCCTACTCTTATAATACAATGTACATAGAGATGCTAGGCAAATATGATTAATACACAGTCTTGAAATTGATAGTACATTTGTACCTGACAAGGAGAAAAAAAGCACATATATTTTCGCACCCTTTCTCATTCATGTCAATATGACCATACAATCAATGCCTGCTACTATTTAGATTAAAAAATAAATCCCAGGTCCTATCAAAATATAATTTAGTATAATAAATGCATTAATATGTCTTGGACAAGTCTAAACATAAATAAGAATATAAAAAAATAAACAGGTTCTTGGAAAATTACATGTTTGAATTACATGTTAGAGCAAGAGAACTTTTAAAATGAGATCTTAATACGTTTGTTGACATTGTCAAGCTTGAATGACTCTTTATACTGTACTCCTATTAATTACTGGGTTCATTTTCTGTATTAGAAATCTACATGTATGTGTAAGTTGACCTATAGACGTTCCTTTGTTAATATTATCTGGAAGAATGACTGCATATCAAACCACAGATAGAAAAAAAAATAAACAGTACAATTAAATACATATAAGTACAATTAAATACATACATTTACATGTGTATGTAGAAACAAGCAAAACAAGAAAAATATTATGGACCAAAATTTCTGTCAAAAATTGTGAGAATTTACTAAGTTTTTAAGTTTTCATCAAAAAACATTTAAGTTTAATAAAGTGTATTTCTTGTTTTTGTCAGTCACCAAATTTTAAGTGGCTTAGATAAATCATGATTTTTCTCTGTTAGTAAAAGTACAAGAATTGAAGTTGCATTTTCATAACTGGAGTCAAAGTTAGATTTACTACATGTATATATCACCTACATGTAGGTACATCATCAAATCTTAACTATCTCAGATAATTCAATAACTTCTGTACAATCTGTTGAGAAATAAACCATCAAAATGTTTTGATATCCTGTAGGATTTAGGCTGACTTCAGTGACCCAGACACTGACATCGAACTGAAATTATGTCCAAGGACCATTAATGGGAACACTGCAACAAAGGAACACAGCAACAATATTTAAGGGTCATTTCTCCTTCTTAGACTGATTCGCTCAAAACAAGTTGAATTTATATTGATATTCTTGAAATGGTGTAAGCTACTTTACGTTACGTTAAGGACATGTCATGTAAATTTACAACATAACCCTCCCACACCCAGTTGGATTGCTGAAGACAAGCATTTAGAAAAAATAGGATTTTACAAAAATATTAACAAGCTTCTTGCATCAAGTTTATATATTCATGTGATGGCTGGGTCAAGTGTCATAGTTTCTATTCCCCACTCTTAGGTGACAAGGTGTAGGGTCGACTGTCCAACCTCATGGGTTTTTCTCAGGATCCTCAGGTTTCCTTCCACAGTTACACATACTAAAAATGAACCATATTAGTATTGAAATGACCTAGTTTGTGTTGAGTGGATGGTATGACCCCTATTTCTTTCTCTCGCATGTTGTTATAGACAAGATTGTTATTTAATATTTTGGTATACATATACATATACTTAGCATATTATCTGTCAATCATTGTGATATTGACAAATGAAGGGTCCTTAGTACCTTAAGTTAAAGATGATCTCATGTTGAAATACATATGTAAGAAGTATTCATTTTATCTGTAATAAACTGAAATAATAAATCATGCCCTTCATTAGACACAGCTAATCCCTTAAGCTTGAAATGACCCTTAATTATAAATGAAGCGCTCATTTTACCTAATTATATACAATAACATAAAAAACCTTTAAATCCAGCCAGTCAGTACAACTAAAACTATAAAATTACCTCTATAATACTAGAACACAGTAAATCTATGGATGAACTTCATGTATGTTACTAATATAATGTATAGATAAACCCTTTAAATCTGGTCTTTATTATTACAAATCCTTCAACAAAAGCTCAAAATGACCCTTGAAAGAAATGTTTCAAGCGTGGACAGTATTTATTCAAGTATACATTCATTGCAAATAGATTTTAAGGATTGAAAAACAATCCATGGGCTTATATTTTCATTAATACAAAATACACACTTCATATACAATGTACATGTACATAATACTGGTATCCTAGTTTTATATTTAATATTTTTATCATTATATATGGTTGGTATATTTTATTATAATAGTTAAGTCTGACCATGAACCCAGGTTTTAGGCCTTTCACCTGTATCATCCACCTATATGGTTCATATATCATGTAAGTATGGTACTAGAATATATTAGCACCTGGTGTGGTCAGCCAACTTTCCAGTTAATCTTGTATCATATTAAGTACAGGTTACTCAGACCATGACCAGTATACACACTCACCATTGTCCATTTCTATCACTTATGGATTAATTATTCAGTCACATTTAATGCTTTTCTATTGTTATGTGTTCTCCTGATTAACCTCAGTGACACTTCAATAAATACCTCAAGTTGTCTCCCACTGCTAAAGACCCCTATGCGCAAGCGAATTATTGAAATAAAATTATACCATGTTAGTCCCGCAATGACCTAGTTGTGTCGAGTGGACATTAAACCCCATTTCTCTCTCACCTCAAGTTGTTATAAAACTTTCAACAGGATAACCTGTGGATAGAAAATGATAAATTAAATGTTGTATCGTGAATGGAAGTATGTTAACATTTTTTAACTCCATGGAGGCAGGTGGGTGGGTGGTTCCATATCTATCCGCCGGTTCTTTGTTTTGATGCAAGTGTTGTAATTTTTCAACAGTCCATAAAACTGGTTGATTAATAGCATTTCTCTTTAATTTGGGAAACAATCTAATGCCTATGTGTGACTACTACAGTTGATAATTTAGTGTTTTCAGGATAACCAATCTTTAGTGGGTTGTGTTTTTTTTGTATCGTCAATTAGTTTCTCACACTTTATTAATTAAAGCTTTCTATTATAGTTGGCATTGTCTTCATTATTACCAGAACACCAAAATATTTTATCTATAATAAGACTTAATTCTAATGGATATCAATTACATATACATTGTATTAAGTTAGATGATGATTTTTTTTTTATCCTGATTATGCCAATGATAAAATGTTAATAACATCTATGAGCATAAAGATGATAGAATTATAGTCAGATTTTAACTTTGTATGTTGTCATCCTTAGAATTATTTCTTGGTAATATGTAGGTTATCACATCAAATGCCACTAATATAATACATTTTTAATATACACTAATCATATTGTATATTTCTCCAGTTGTTGTATTTATATTGTATATTTATGTTATATTTATGTTAATATAATGCAATGTTATTGATTGCTCTTTTGACAGAAGCCTGATGTTGCTGTGGCTATAAAAAGTATAACCAAGAAAAACATTGCCAAGTCTCAACAGTTGCTAAGCAAGGAAATAAAAATACTCAAGGTATGAAGACAATAGACTACTACAGTTGAACTGTTAACATTTTATTGATGGAATGAATTTTTCTTCCTTTACATTTAGATATGCTACATTGTACAAATGGAAACTTCAAATTTTTTTTGAAACACTTAAAGGCGATAAACCTCTTTGCTTTACATGTAGGTCAAAATATATTGGGTTGATTAGATAAGTTATTTCGATTAGAGGTGCGAAAAATCTAAACGATTATTTTTTTTGTTTAAGCAGAAGTAGGGTTAGTTTACTAATTTTGGTTTATGTTTTGGCTTAAACTGTTTGCAATGGAGCACTAAATCAGCATATATCTACACAGGGGATCTAAACAAATTTACATAGACACAGACACCCATGTAACAAAGCAATAATTTCAGGATTTTTCAAAGGCTGCTCCCAGTTTTCGTAGTAGATACTACTTCATGCCAAAAATACACGAATCTATGCCATTTTAATGTTATTTACAAAACAAACAAGGTCCCAATCCAATTCAAATTGGCCGTGTATTAAAACAATGATTCTTTGAAATATTTTAGAGTCTGTCTTTGAAATTTGAAGGAAAGATAATTAAAATCACACATGTAAAACAAGGTAGCATTTATTTCATGTGAGTTGTTTATGTAAACATAACAGTTTTTAAATTGCAACATATGTAAGATCACATTAATTTCCTGTTTCCCATAGACATGTTATCTTCATCATAATATCATACAAGAAGCGTTTCTGGTTTTACTGTGTAAACTAAATTAATATTTCAGGAATTGTCTGATCTTCATCATGAGAATGTTGTTGGCTTATTGGATTGTAAGGTAAGTTTATCATTGATGTTTTAATGATTATCAGGTATTCTTACAAAAATAATATAGAATACAACATTACAGGAACAGACTTGTATAAGTTGAATAATATACCAGTTTAAACAGTAAAAAATATAGTAATATACTCCAGTAATAACAAAGGAATATATAATACAAATTGTGGTAAATTGTCAATTTTATTTTCAAACTTTTGGGGTAATATCAAAGTAAATCCAAAGTTTTTATAAATTAATGAAAATACATTTAAAAATAAAAGTAAATAACTTAAAAAGTAAGCCCCCCCCCTTTAAAATGATGCACCAGACTTAGTAAGATATCTAATTTGTTTGATGTATTCTAACTGCTGAATATATCACAGATATATTCTGAAGAATTTGTTCCACAGATGGATGATAAGGCGTCATAATGATTAAACTCCTAGAAAATTCTTTGGCATTACACAAGCTATTGGGCCATCTTAACCCTGACCGATAAATTCTTCCCAAAGTACATGTAATATCTATCATATATTGATTGTACTGTTTTTGTTGTAAACAAGTGAATAAGTATACATCAAACCAGCTGAAAGCAACTAGAACATACCAAGATGTTAAACATCTCCGTTGGTCACTGTGTTATATATCACAGTGATAGACATGCTGATAACCATACATACATCACATGATATATGTATTGATAAGTAACATGTAGTTTTATAGTCTATATTTATTGGTTTTTAGTTTGAATAATACATTATTGGCATAAGTGTTAACCAACCAAGTAAAACTATTCATGAGTTGCCATATTATGAATCAGAATTTATTGTTTTCACTTTTACTATTTTAATATAGGAAGGGGTTTAGGGTCAAGTTGTCAAACAAGTGTGCTTTAAATTGTAATGTCTGTTACATGATTTAAGTTGTACTGGTATGGTTTCAATCCCAAGCTTTTACGTGACAAAGAATACGGATTGCCTCATGTTTTTTTTTTGCCAGGTCCTTTGGTCTACCCCCCCCCCCCCTTGAACTCCCAAAGACCGATACGTCCAAGCGCATTATTGAAATAATATTGTACCATATGTTAGTCCTGAAATTAGCTAGTTTGTGTTGAGTGGACTTCAACTCTGTTTCTCTCTAAGTTAATATTTATTAACCAAGCTTAGCTGTAATTTAACAGATATTTATCGCTTTATTATTTGTGGAATTTTAATATACAAATGCAGTAACAGCTCGGGATGCAATGAATAAATAACAGCTGTATTCAACGAGACATAATTTATTGGTTTTCACTTTTATGACTTATTCAATTTTAATAATATTTTCAGTGTAGTGTATGTAGTAAGCCTCTATTGATTTCCTATTGCACATGACCAACTTAGGTATGACAGTCACGGTTTTAAGTTAACCCATTTAATAATGTTACACAATACTTATAAAGTATAGGATACTTTTGTCTTATCAGCCCTCTGGTTGTTTTCATTTTATAAAACAATGCATTGATAAACCAATTAAAAACTCTTTAACTAATTTATACATTGACCAACACGATTGTGATAAACATTCAGTGCCATTCCCCCCCATCTTCTCTGATGGAATATAAAAAAATTCTCTGTGATATTTATTTGGGCATCAATCCGGGGGCTGTTAGGGGACAGCACAAGCCATCCAAAAAGGCAATATGATTATGAATCAGTTTTTAAAGAACTAAAACTCTGAGGGCTGTGATTAAAAATTGCACTGTTTTTTCTGTGATTCCAGGACATACTCCAAATCACATATATCACCAGAAAATTATTGAAAATATTGGGAGGTTAGCCCCTACCCTCCCCCCACCCCCCTCACTTGCAAAATCCTGACTTTGACACTGTTATCAGTCCCTGTTTGTATTGATATCGGACACTCATGCATCACGAACCTTTTCAGAAACTTCACCGAATTTATGTGTGTTGGGTCACACTGGGTACTTCTTATATGTCAAAAATTAACCGCATTATTTATAGTTGTTCTTATCTTATCAGCCACTGTTAGCTTTGATTTAATAAAACAATGGATGAACTCATGGCAAAACTTCACTGACTTAATTCTGTTTGCCTTAGTTTTAAATTTTAATTGAGAGAGAGAGAGAGAGAGAGAGAGAGAGAGAGAGAGAGAGAGAGAGAGAGAGAGAGAGGATTTATATTTTCTGAACAAATATAAGAATACATATGTTTAAATTTTAAGAAAATGTTAGTTATTGACTGCTTTTTTTATTAATATACTTATCTTATACTAGCTATTGTATATTGATTTAATAACACAGTGGTTCAAGCCCTTAGAAAAACTTCACCGAATTTCTAATGCTAACAACCTATGATAAGTAATGCTAGGTCAAACTATATATATATATGACAACATTGGAGGAATGTAAACAATAACATTAGGGATATTTATAGTTAATGAGGTCAGTAGAACAGTGGCAGTATGGTAATATGACACTGACATTTAGGATGTTCACTGACACAAGGCCATGTGAAATCAAGTATGAGACCATCAAGTAGCTTGAATTAGGAGTAATTTTAGCACGACTTGATCATGTTTCTAGAGTGTGGAGTAGTACCTCAGTACCTTGAGGTCAATCTTTAGCTTACATAACAGTACTTTATATGTTATTTGTATTTGATAATGAACTCTTTATACCCCGACGTCAACTTGTCCGAGCTTTTATTACAGAAGTTCTTTTATAAACCAATTTTAATTGTTTTATCCTATAATTTATTATTAAAATAAAAAGACAGGTATTCATTTTCAAGTGTATTATAAAATGGTCTGATATAATCTAAAATGATTGACATTTATAATTTATTACATGTTATATACCTACATTTCAAAAGGTGCATCGATGCATGCAGTATTTCATGCAGAATCTAGGCAGCTAAGGTTTCTATATAAATATATATAGGGCATATAGAAAGTACAACAGAAGTACAAGTGTGTACAACATAAGACTCACATAAAAGAATCCTTGGCAGATGGAATTGAATGAAAATTTTATGATGTTCAGTCGAAATTCTCCTTCCCAGCATTTCACAGGTGAAAAGGAAATAATGTAACTGTTACTGTTAGTCTAATAACGATATGTAACTGTTACTGTTAGTCTAATAATGATAGGTAACTGATACTGTTAGTCTAATAACAATGTGTAACTGTTACTGTTAGTCTAATAATGATAGGTAACTGTTACTGTTAGTCTAATAACAATGTGTAACTGTTACTGTTAGTCTAATAACAATGTGTAACTGTTAGTCTAATATTGATATGTAACTGTTACTGTTAGTCTAATAACAATGTGTAACTGTTACTGTTAGTCTAATAACAATGTGTAACTGTTACTGTTAGTCTAATAAGGATATGTTACTGATACTGTTAGTCTAATAACAATGTGTAACTGTTACTGTTAGTCTAATAAGGATATGTAACTGTTAGTCTAATATTGATATGTAACTGATACTGTTAGTCTAATAACAATGTGTAACTGTTACTGTTAGTCTAATAAGGATATGTAACTGTTACTGTTAGTCTAATAACGATATGTAACTGTTACTGTTAGTCTAATAACAGTCAATATGTAAGTGTTACTTTTAGTCTAATAACAATATATAACTGTTACTGTTGTTAGTCTCAAAATGACCCAAATGTTGTGATAAAGAGACAAAAATGCATTTCCTTTTCTTTCCATTACACACAATATAAATGCACTCAAGGACAAAAAAAAAGATATCTAACTTAATGCAGAATCAAATGGGACATTCCTACCTGACAGCAAGCTATTAGTTTCTCTGATTATACTTTGCCTCTTGGCAATTGCTTTGATGACAGTGAAGATAATGATGCCATACTGACTGTATTGACAGGGATGGTGATGCAATAAATATACTTAACTTTATCTCATTATTCTTATACATTTTATGCCGTTTAAACATGCAATTTTTATTTGGTTTATTAACATTTGGAATTGGATTAATATAAGCTTTGTAGCTTGTTTCCGAATAGGGGGGTTGGATGGCCGAATGGTTAGCATGTGCGTGCTGTATCATAAGGCCTGTACGTGACAAGGAGTAGGGTCGCCTGTCCAGCCTCATGGGTTTTCTCCGGGTCTTCCGGTTTCCTCCCACTGCTAAAGACCCCTATGCGCAAGAGAATTATTGAAATAAAATTAAACCATATGTTAGTCCCGAAATTACCTAGTTTGTGTCAAGTGGACTTAAACCCAATCTCTCTCTCTCTCTCTCTCTCTCTCTCTCTCTCTCTCTCTCTCTTGTTTCCGAATCCATGTATTTTATTATATATTGTTTATTGTGTATATGTTAAATTAATAGTGTGTATATCAAATGGGGCATCCAAATATAAGTGCATTTAAGGATAAAAAGGATATCTACATGTACATGTAGCTTAACATGCTAAGATGTTAAGTAAACTTAGCCATGCACTTGTCAACATTTTTAAAGTTTGACCATCCTTCGATAAACAAAACGTTTGAACTTTTAAAAGCTGACTAATGAAATTTTTCCTTCCGTTGATATTTTTATTGATTATATGGCTTTTGAAGTTGACTAAGTAGAATGTCTACAGGTTAGTTGTATAAGAGACTTGTTATGGATGTCAGATCATAAAATCAATAATTAAATGTTTAATCAAGGCCTTTTCAACCTTTGAACTTTGTGGTTTAAACATGGCCTATGTCTGGCTCAGACAAAGGGGTCTGGCTGAATGCTATGTTAAACTAATAAGTGAAGAGATAATGATCATTTTCAACAGAAGTTACATAACTTTATTAGTAAGTGCAGGAGGACTATATGTTATATCCATATTGACACACCATGCCCACTTGGTGTTAATGTTTTCTAGTGCAGGTGATCACATGTTTACAGAGTGTTTCACATCTATTTTGTATCTACGCTATGTCTTATATAACTAACATTGTTAGACAGTGTTCATGATTAGGTGTTATTAATTCATTAGTCTTGACTTAACCTT